TTATCTAAAGGTTAAGGAAGTCAGAAATTAGGGTTACGGCTTTTGTAGGAGTTTGATTAGGATTTGAGTTAGAAATAGGGTATGTTTGACAAGCTGAAAAATAGGCGTGCTGGGGTTTTTGTTAGAATTGTCATCTATACTTTACGGCTGTGGTATGACTTTAGTTAGCCTTTAATCTAGACATAGAGTAAACTTAACATTAGCAAGTTAGTATTTAGATTACTGCTATTTAGATTTCTAGCAGTAATCTAATCTAACACCTTTTTTTTAATATTGAAAAATAGACGCGTTAGAGTGTTAATCGTTATGATATTATGATTAGATAAAAAAAGTTTAGGCAAGTTAGAAATTCGTGTTACGGCTATGTTAGGACTTTGGTAAGATATAGGGTTAATTTTGACATTAATAAGTTTTTGAGTTTTTGACATTTAAAATTTAGTATTTAATTTACTAGCAGTAATCAGACACACTTTTTTGATTCAGAAAATACACGCGTAAGGGTATTTGCATGATTGTTGTAGGCATACAATATTTTGTGTTAGCGTTAAGGTAGGACTTTGTTTAGGCCTTGAGTTATGCATATGACTAATTTTGACATTATCACGTTGGTATGTAGTCGTAAAATAGGTTCTATTATTGTAGTATTGTCCGGCTTTAGTGTAAAACATACCATGAACATCGAATCTATTTCTAGCCAATTTCTCTAACCAGTGTCCAATAATGCGACCGTATTGACAGTTTCAAAACATGTGTATGGCTTCTTGTTGGCATACACTATTATGAGTAGTATTGATACTACTTTTGTCCAATAATAGACTCTTCGGAAAATAGGTGTGTTAGGTTGTTAGTAGTAGGCCTATTGTCATCTCCAAATCTCCATTTCAGGGTTAGGGCTAGTGCTATAGTAGAAGTTGGGTGGGGGGGGGGGTTATGATGTTGACATTTGCAAGGCATAATTGTATTTAGTTAACAACCAGTAACCTAACGCCCCTTTTTTAAGAAGATTCCATTCTTGTTGTATTATCGGACAATTTTTTAACACACCCCCGGGTAATTACAAATACAGTACACTTGAGACGCCCAATTGTAGGTAACACATTCAGAAGTTTCTCGTATTTCTCAAGTTAATTTTTTAAAGCGTTGAATCAAAATTAGTTACCTAGAAGCCTATACGGATACTACTTTTAAACTACTAAACCTCCTATGTGTCTATGAATGACTAGTTAGTAAGAACAACGAACGCCCCGGCGTACGAGAGCTAGTCTTCCACTATATACCCAGGCTGTGTTACTTTCAGACATTTTTTTTACAATGGGGGGGGGGGTACTTAACTTTCCGGGGGGTAGGACCTTGGTTAAAGTATGTATTTTAACATCCAATTTTTCCTCATTTCGACTGGGGGAGGGGGAATGTTTCAGATGCCCCACTCCCCCGGATGTTTCAGGTGCCCCCCCCCCCCCCCCCCCAGAAAAATGTCTGAAACGAATGATACATTGTTTTGTAATATTTATTGAATATTGTACGTTTTTTATTTTTGTTTTTAAATTATGTAAGCCTAAACGGTAATCAGCCGTGTTTTAATCTAAAAAAATGCCCCCCCCCCCAACCCAACTATCAAAATATCTCTGTACCCGTACGCATGCGCATTTACAGTCCTTTGATATTTTTAATTCAAACCGAACCGTGACATCCTTCAGATCCAAAATAGGTTAAATATGATCTCTACTTTCTAGAATCTTCTATAATAAAATTAGCCATCCGGCTGGGGTTTAGATACACTTTGCGCATGTCTTCCGCGCATGTAAACTCAATGTCAGTTTGGCGTATATATATAAACACCCCGACCAACTAGTGCAGAAATAGTGTTCACTCACTCAAAACACATGTAAACAATAGGGTAGTTACAAATCACTATGCAACATTCCAATTTCTTGAAACTTAAATAGTCGTGAGCTGTTCTCACGAAAACTCATTCACGATTTACTTTTCTAAAAACACAAACACTTTACTTTTGTAGACCCTATTTTGACTCGCTGCCCTGTAAACTAGAGAAGGATTTAAAAACAACCAAGTTGATTTCCAAAAGTTTACAAAACTACAGGAAAATTAACCAAAAGAAAGTTGTCTGAAATTTTGTTGAATTTTTTCCTTCACAGATAGGCGTAAGATGACAGGAGCTGAAATGGGACAGGTACGTGTTGACATGGTGTCTGTGGTGTCATGGTGTCTTGTGTTGTCATGGTGTCTTGTGTTGTCATGGTGTCTTGTGGTGTCTTGTGGTGTCATGGTGTCTTGTGTTGTCATGGTGTCTTGTGTTGTCATGGTGTCTTGTGTTGTCATGGTGTCTTGTGTTGTCATGGTGTCTTGTGTTGTCATGGTGTCTTGTGGTGTCTTGTGGTGTCATGGTGTCTTGTGTTGTCATGGTGTCTTGTGTTGTCATGGTGTCTTGTGTTGTCATGGTGTCTTGTGGTGTCGTGGTGTCTTGTGGTGTCGTGGTGGCTGTGGTGTCATGGTGGCTGTGTTTTCATGGTGTCTTGTGTTGTCATGGTGTCTTGTGTTGTCATGGTGTCTTGTGTTGTCATGGTGTCTTGTGGTGTCGTGGTGTCTTGTGGTGTCATGGTGGCTGTGGTGTCATGGTGTCTGTGGTGTCATGGTGTCAGTGTTGTCATGGTGTCTTGTGTTGTCATGGTGTCTTGTGTTGTCATGGTGTCTTGTGTTGTCATGGTGTCTTGTGGTGTCGTGGTGTCTTGTGGTGTCGTGGTGGCTGTGGTGTCATGGTGGCTGTGTTTTCATGGTGGCTGTGTTTTCATGGTGACTGTGGTATTGTCATGGTGTCTGTGGTGTCATGGTGTCTGTGGTGTCATGGTGACTGTGGTATTGTCATGGTGTCTGTGGTGTCATGGTGTCTGTGTTGTCATGGTGTCTGTTGTGGTGTCATGGTGTCTGTTGTGGTGTCATGGTGTCTGTGGTGTCTGCCTGTAATGGTGTCTGCCTGTAATGGTGTCTGCCTGTAATGGTGTCTGCCTGTAATGGTGTCTGCCTGTAATGGTGTCTGCCTGTAATGGTGTCTGCCTGTAATGGTGTCTGCCTGTAATGGTGTCTGCCTGTCAAGGTGTCTGCTTTTATTCAATTTGTTTCACGATTTTTTCTATGCAAACACATATTCGGCTACGTTTAAAAACGTCTTTTATATATTTTTTTCTATCAATCAACCCCCCCCCCTCGTGTATGTTGGGGAGGGGGGGGGGAGCTAGCAGTTATTGGTAGACCACAGCAGATTGTTTGAATGGTCTTTTATTTTTGCCATTGTTTTCTGTCTTCTGCTGTTTTAAGTAGTTCTGCAACGGGGTAGCCTTGTCCATTCCTTGACTTCCTCTATCAAATTTCTAATTCGTTTTCTATTTTCTTTACATTTCCTTAGTCAGTTTACAGTTTAGAAGAATAGTCTCACATGTTCATAATATACACTGTTGTAGAAGCAATACTACAATGATTTAGACACAGTAAATAATGTACAATTTAAACCTTTACTTCCTTGGTAGAGTCAGCTAACATCAACATTTTTGTCGTCAATAATCTCCCACCACTTTTTTTAACCTCTTATTTGATTAATAAATTTTAAGGTTCCTATTATCTCTCCTTTTTGTTTGCCGCCATTGATTTTTAATAAAAATCCGTGTAATACTTAATTTATAGTCACATTTTTCCGGTTTAAAAAATCTATCGAGTCGCTTAGATTTAAACTATTTTGAGCAAATTTGTGCTTTATAAGTTCTTTTCACAATACATAAGACTACCCACCTCCTCTTCTAAGTAATGCGCTGCAACTCTTCATTGTCAAGTTCAAAGATTAGTTTAAGTCTGTTATGTCCCTTAGAACAACATATATTAAGGGATGACAGTGCCGATATTTAAAGTATTGTGAAATGTTGATATATTGAAACTAGCAGATAAAAAACGTATCCTTTCGAATCTGACGGTCTATGGGTCAGGTAGAGTTCACCTGATTCGTATGAAGGGATAGTGTGGTCAGCACTATACCCATACGCCTTTACTTTCCCTAACTTGAGTCATGCACCCATTAGAGGTGACTGGACTCAGATACGTTCTACTGACACAAACACATGATTCGAACTCGAGACTTTCGGGTTAGCAGACGGATGCTCTACCATCCAACCATTCAGTCCCACAACACTTAAGAATTACATGACAAAATCTTACATATTTAACAACAGCCATTTACGAAAAACAAATGCTTTGTTTTTTTTTCCAGAAAAATGGGGCCGGTAAGACTTTCAGTCACGGGGTCACCCGTTCGGGAACGGAGAAGAAGAAGAAGAAGAAAGGTGGGGAGGAGATCAAGATGGACGGGCTGAAGAGGGAGCTGGACATGGACGAGCACAGGATTCCCATGGAGGAGCTGTTGGAGAGGCTGAAGGTGGACCCAAAGCTGGTAGGGACTGTTTGTATAAACGTGTGTGGGGGGAGGGGGGGGTGGGGTGTGTGTCTTGGTTTGTATGCTGGTAGGGACTGTTGTATAAACGTGTGTGGGGGGGGGGGGGAAGGGGGGAAGTGATATGGCTGAAGGTGGACCCAAAGCTGGTAGGGACTGGTGTATAAACTTGTGGGGGGGGGGGGGGAAGTGATATGGCTGAAGGTGGACCCAAAGCTGGTAGGGACTGGTGTATAAACTTTGGGGGGGGGGTGTCTTGGTTTGTATGCTGGTAGGGACTGTTGTATACTTTGGGGGTGGGGGGTGGGTGTGTGTGGGTGTCTTGGTTTGTATTAAAAGCTGGTAAGGACTGTTGTATAACTTTTGGCAAGATTGGCGGGGGGGGGGGGGAGGGAGTTCTGGAAATAAGGTGGATCCAAAGATGGTAGGGACCGTTGTATAAACCTTGGGTGTGGGAATTTCTTGGCTTATATTCAAAGCTGGTAGGTAAGGCTTTGACATCTTTGGGGTAGCGGAGAGTGTCTTGGCTTCCGGTGGATCCAAAGCTGATAGGGACTGTTGTATAACCTCGGGAAGTTGGAGGGGGGGGGGGGGTGAGAGTGAGGGGAAAATTGGATAGTGCACTATTCTCTACACTGAGGCGTTTGCTCGAAGTAGCACGCCACACGTTACTTTCCAATGAAGGATACAGTTGTAGGTATCCCAAAGACTTAGTTTCAGGATACGTTCAGATGATGGGATAGTTATAGTTTCTTCCAGGCAACTCTTCGGGGGGGGGGGGGGGGGCTCTGAAGAAAGTCTTATACTTTTAACAGTGTCAGCCCCTCCCCCCGGAAAATGTTGACCGCCCCCCCCCAACCCCTAAAATATCAAGTGTCCCCCCCGGAGAAAAACGTCTGGAAGAAACATTGGATAGTTATGTTTGGGTTGGTAACAGTCTCGGGATAATTCAAGAGTTTATTTCAGGTATTTCTTCAACACTTAACCCCCCCCCCCCCCCCCAACGCCCTCGGAAGTGTCTAGAAAATTCTGTTAAAAAGAAACCTTTCGGTATATTTATGTTGATTTTAAAATGTCCTAGGGACTTAATAAAATCGAAACAAAATCTCGAGATATTTATACTTTTATTCCATCCCCCCCTCCCCCCAACCCTAGGGCCACACCCAGGATAAAGCCAAAGAACTTCTGGAGAGGGATGGACCCAACGCCTTGACCCCGCCCAAGACGCAATCTGAACTCGTTAAGTTCGCCAAAACCATGCTGGGCGGATTCGCCACACTGTTGTGGATCGGCGCCATCTTGTGCTTCATCGCCTACGCCATACAGGCGAGTCAGAATGAAGACCCACCCTCAGACAATGTGAGAATTTTTTTTTTTTAATTTTAATAATGTTAGTTAGAAATTTAGTTTTAATTCTAATACCATTTCATTATATTTTGGCGACGTAAAGATATTGGGTTAATGGATTCAATTTTTGTTTTTTCTTCTTACCACCCTTACATACTATTTTGTTTCGTTAAGATAATGGGTTAGCGGATTTTTAATACTTAATGCTAGTCTGAACATTCGTTTTTTTTACAAATAATGTCCTTTAATTATATTTCATGACGTAGAAGTATTAGGTTTAATTAGAAGTGGAGTTTAAAACAGGTTACATTAAAGCTAGTCTCAAATTTTTGTATTTGTTTCGAATGGTCTTCCATACTTTTTTTCCCACCCATATTACGATATTAGGTGAGCACATACTCACGTGGTGTGTTTCTATTTTCAGTTATACCTGGGCATTGTCCTGACCGGTGTTGTCATGGTGACCGGATGCTTCTCATACTTCCAGGAGGCCAAGAGCACGCGCATCATGGACTCGTTCAAAAACATGGTGCCACAGGTAGGCTGGTTAAAAGTATCTTTTTCCTGTGGCCTTACTAGGTCGTGTGTCATCCGGTGCGAAAACGGAGGGTTTAACCGTACCCGCTCAAAACTTAAAAAAAAAATAATTCGGTTTTTGTGTCACCCCCTCCCCCTAATTTTATAATTTTTTTTAACTGAATAAGAAATTTTGTCAGTAGATTTTATATTTTGATTTGACATCATCCCTTTCGAGGCCCCCCCCCCCCTAGTTAAATTTTTCTCTATTTTATTGCTCAAGAAAAACATACTTTTTATGTCTTATAATATAGTAAGTAAAGTTCCCCCTTTCAAACCTGACGGTCTATGGGGCAAGTGAAATAGAGTTCACATGTTTCTGTGACCTCGGCATATGAAGAGATAGTGTGGTCAGCACTATGCACGCCTCTACTTTCCCTAACATTAGTTAGGTACCCATCAGAGTTGGCTGGACTCAGGGACGGTCTACTGACTTGAAACCAGATTCGAACTCGAAACTTAGCAGTCCAGCTCCCTACCGTTAGACCACTCCGCCCCCTTATATTGAATTACATATTTAATTTTTTTTTACACTTCTTTTTTTTCTCCCAGCATGCATTGGTAGTCAGGGGAGGGGAGAAGCTGACAGTCTTGGCTGAGCAGTTGGTGGTCGGCGACGTTGTGGAGGTGAAGTTCGGGGATCGAATCCCTGCCGATATCAGGGTCATATCATCCCACGGTTTTAAAGTGAGTTAAATGTTTGGTCAAATAAATGTATCACTTTTATTAAAGTGAGTAAAAATTTCGGTCAAATGTATCACTTTTATTAAAGTGAGTTAAAATTTTGGTCAAATGTATCACTTTTATTAAAGTGAGTTAAAAGTTTGGTCAAATGTATCACTTTTATTAAAGTGAGTTAAAATTTTGGTCAAATGTATCACTTTTATTAAAGTGAGTTAAAATTTCGGTCAAATGTATCACTTTTATTAAAGTGAGTTAAAATTTTGGTCAAATGTATCACTTATATTAAAGTGAGTTAAAATTTTGGTCAAATGTATCACTTTTATTAAAGTGAGTTAAAATTTTGGTCAAATGTATCACTTTTATTAAAGTGAGTTAAAATTTTGGTCAAATGTATCACTTTTATTAAAGTGAGTTAAAATTTTGGTCAAATGTATGTATCACTCTTATTAAAGAGAGTTAAAATTTGGTCAACTAAATGTATCACCCATTTTAAAGAGTTAAATGTTTAGTCGGATTTTAAAGATTAATTTAAAAAACCCACAAAAAACGGGTGTTAGAAATTCGATGATTTATACACGTGGAAAAAAACCATGAAAATTTTAATTTACTTTTACAAAAATATTTGAACAATGCACATTAATTCGATCTAATATAGTTACTTTTGTAGATTGGTCTAGATTGTAAAATTAAAAAGAACTTTTAAAAATAAAAATTTAGTAAAAGATAACTCTCTGTTGCAGGTAGATAACTCATCATTGACTGGAGAATCTGAACCACAGTCTAGGAGCGCGGAGTTCACACATGACAACCCACTCGAGACTAAAAATTTGGCATTCTTCTCAACCAATGCCGTTGAAGGTAAAGAATTGTTATATTTTTACTAGTCAAATCACATTTACCTTACGGCTAATGGTTATTGTTTTGTTGCCCAGAAAAAGCGGCTGTGATGGCAATGCATTGTCCATCTGTTTATAATTTCCGTTAATGCTTCAGGTGGTACTCTGTTTTTGCCTCTTGGTTATGCCTAATTTATGCCTCTAATTTATGCCTCTAATTTATGCCTCTAATTTATGCCTCTAGGTTATGCCTCTAGGTTATGCCTCTAGGTTATGCCTCTAGGTTATGCCTCTTTGTCATGCCTCTTTGTCATGCCTCTTTGTCATGCCTCTTTGTCATGCCTCTTTGTCGTGCCTCTTTTTTTCTCCTTATCTGGCATACTAAAAGCTCGTCTCTCAATGTTAAGTAAAAGCAACAAAACTAATGCCATGCCCCCCCCCCCCCTTGTCAAGGCCAACCCACATGAGTACACTCAAAATTTAGCCTGTGATTTTACGGGTACATTTTAGTTAGAGGCATGTAAAGGAGAAAATTCCAGAATTTTATAAATTATTATTGGTACCTACGTTTTCCAAATATTTTCAATTACAACTAATGTAAGTAAAAAGTAAAGTTCCCTTTCAAACCTGACGGTCTATAGGGCAAGTGAAGTAGAGTTCACTTGTTTCTGTGACCTCGGCATATGAAGAGATAGTGTGGTCAGCACTATGCCCAGCCGCCTTTACTTTCCCTAACGTGAGTTAGGTACCCATCAGAGTTGGGTGGACTCAGGGGACGGTCTACTGACTTGAACCCGGATTCTAACTCGATACTAACGGGTTAACACTCCAGCTCACTATCGCTAGACCACTCCGTCCCCTACAACTAATGTAATCTGTAACATTAATTCTAAGACAACTTTCCTCTCTAGGTACGGCTACTGGTATTGTAATCCGGACCGGAGACGACTCCGTCATGGGCCGTATTGCCAACTTGGCCTCTGGACTGGAAGCGGGTCGCACCCCCATCGCCAACGAGCTGGCACATTTCGTCCACATCATCACCGGCGTGGCCATCATCTCCGGCGTCATCTTCTTCATCATCTGTTTCTTCTTCGGCTACTACTGGCTGGACGCGGTCATCTTCTTGATTGGTATCATTGTGGCGAACGTTCCGGAGGGGCTACTGGTCACTGTTACGGTAATTCCCTATTTTTGATTCCTACAAAAATACTCAGCGTTAAAGGTTGTTTTTAAATGACATCAGACATTTATCCTGTAGTTTATACCCCACCCCTTGTCTTCAAAAAAAAAAAAAATCTCCTCCTGAAAACTAAATGACACAACTAAATCAGCACCACTTTATAAATAATTCTAAACAAAGGTGTACAGTTTTCAATAGTTTTCATAACAGCAGCAATTTTTATAAGGCTGCATATGCTACGTGGTGTTTCCAGGACTATCTCCTTCCCGACTTAGCGCATCTTCCCCAAGTTCGAATCCCCCTTCCCATAAGTGTGACGTCATTTATAAACGACCATTAAACTACTCCTGATAGAGAATAAATCTTAAGTCAAACAAGTTTTTTGGTCAAGTCTCTGACGTGTCACAATCTATACCTACAAGGTTTGTCTGACACTGACCGCCAAACGCATGGCCAAGAAAAATTGTCTGGTCAAGAACTTGGAAGCTGTAGAAACTCTGGGATCCACCTCAACCATCTGCTCTGACAAGACCGGAACCTTGACCCAGAACCGTATGACGGTTGCCCACATGTGGTTTGATGGCCAGATTTTTGAAGCCGATACAAGAGACGATCAGACCAGTATGTTTTTCAAAAAAAAAAAATTACTTTTTTTTCACATGATTAATTTTTTTTTCAGCCTAATTTTTAAAAATAATTTTCTTCCAGAATTTTTCTGATGAAACTGACAAGAAAAGTCTGACAATCTAAGCAGAGTCTTTTATTGCCAGATTTTAAATTACGAATATTGTTTCGTAACTTTTCGATTTTTTCTTTCTTTTCCAGTTACAACTTTTAGCTCGGAGGAACCAACATGGAAGGCGCTGTCACGTGTTGCTATGCTGTGCAATAGGGCAGAGTTCAAAGGTGGCCAGGACAATGTATCGGTTCTCAAAAGGTAAAATTGCCAAACCAGTCCTGCCAAATTGAAGTAACATTTTGCTGACAATATATATTTGTGATTGATTTAAAAGATAGTTAATCGTTACAAAGATTATATTCGTAATATATATTTTTTATAATTTCTTATAGAATTAGAATTAGGCAGAGGATTCATTTTCAAATTAATCCATAGGTTAGGGTTACAAGATTGTAATAATGTATACTAAATTAAGCATGTCTAAGGAAAACCCCACCTTGACACTTGTTTCACAAACATTTTGTAAATTGTTGTTTTTACAGAGAATGTAATGGCGATGCATCAGAGTCAGCCATCTTGAAATGCACAGAGCTTGCTATTGGGAACGTAATCGACTACCGTAACCGTAATAAAAAAATTGTGGAGATCCCTTTCAACTCCACCAACAAGTTTCAGGCAAGATTTTTATTTCTAGTTATTTAATAACTACGAGCCGACCCGCTGCGTATCATACGCCGCTATTTAGTTGTTTTTTTCTACTTTTCAGTAATTTATAATTTGTGAATTCGACAGTACCAATGCTGCCATTGAAAATATTTGCTTAAAAACACTACCCCCCCCCTTCCACGTGAAAGCAGCCTCCTCTTAGGTTACCTCCTCTAAGTTTAAAATCGTTTCAAACTAAATTATCTGCCCCTAATAGCCGTCACCAAACCCGTCTCTGTGATTGTAAAATGTAAACAGAGTGAACACCGCTCACCAGATCATGTGGGGGTGGGGTGGGGGTGGTAGTGATAGTGATAGAGAGGAAGAGAGGGGACTGCAAAGGCGCGCTTGCAGCTTGTTTTCTAACTGATCCCAGAAGAGAATTATATATATAGATACTTTTTTATTTTTAATTTAAAATATTTTTTTTACAGTTTTCATTCTTCCCTCCCATATTATGAAGGATTAAGATAAATTATAACCGAAAACAAAAACTGTAAAAACATTCTTACCTCCTATATCATGAAGGATTAAGATAAATTATAACCGAAAACAAAAACTGTAAACATTTTTCCCTCCCATATCATGAAGGATTAAAGATAAATTATGACCAAAAACCAAAAACTGTAAAACATTCTTACCTCCCATATCATGAAGGATTAAGATAAATTATGACCGAAAACCAAAAATTGTAAAATTATTCTTACCTCCCATATCATGAAAGATTAAAATAAATTATAACCGAAAACTAATTAAATTTTACAGGTATCGATTCACCAACTGGAAAACTCCACGCAGTACCTGCTGGTGATGAAAGGAGCGCCAGAACGGATATTGGAGTGCTGCTCCACTATATTACTGCACGGGGAGGAATACGAGTTGACCGATAACTATAGGGACGCCTTCAACACAGCGTACATGGATCTTGGAGGTCTGGGTGAAAGAGTACTAGGTAGGTTGAAAAGCGAACTTCTTCTTCTTTGTTCTTATTTTAATTTTGGAAGAGATTCCCTCCAACACAATTAAGCGTTACGTGTCAACTGTTTATGCGCCATTTAGGCCGTTGACTCCGGTTACAGCCTGCTTTTCTTTTTGGATTTGATTCCATAGCCTTTGTCCAAACAAGTACAAACTACAAGACAGCAGTTGTTTAATTTTGGAGTTGTCTCTCCTAGAAGAGTGGCTGTCCCCAGCTAACGAGCCTCATCTGTCCGAGGGTTTGAACTCAAAGACTTTCGGTTTAGCATCCATGATCTTTACCGACTCGAACAATTTTAGTTTCAATTAAACATTAAATTGCCCAGACATTGGATGAGATTATCCCAAAATGTACAATAACTTATAACTGTTTTTTGTCATACAAATCAGATTAAGTTATACTTCCTTTGGGCGTAATTAGTCTAAAATGTAATCAGAAGTATTTAAAACAGTTCAATCATAATCTATAAGTCCAATCAAAGCAAATTCTACTTAAACAATAATCTAATGTTATTAACACTATATGTATAAACTCCTAATTGTTCAACCATTGGAAGTAAATAACCCAATATAAAATCAAATGAATAATTAGATGAAAATAGCCAAAAGAACGCAACATACTGTGTATTTTTTGTCTTATCCTCAACTTTGTGTTTCCCCAGGTTTCTGTGATTACCTACTGCCCACAGACGTGTTCCCACCAAATTATCAATTCGACACGGAAAATTTGAATTTCCCAGTGGCAGGCCTGCGGTTTGTCGGCCTCATGTCTATGATAGACCCACCTCGGTCTGCAGTACCAGGGGCGGTTCTCAAATGTAGAAATGCTGGCATCAAGGTGAGATCTGATGAGCAAGCTTCTTGGGTCTTTTGTTCTAACTTTCAATGGAGCACTACGCTTCTTATGTTGAATCTGTTCACACGGTGTTTTTAAGAATATTTTCTCAGGTGGGTTGGGTGGACGTACACCGGGGTGGTGTCTCCCAATCCCCCTAAGATATGCATGAAAGAAACCCTGTTTATATATCTTTATCTGAAGTCATGATTCCTGCTTTATCATTCCATTGCTGTTTTAGACACCTTTAGTCCGTTATATTATGTCCTGAAATTGTTTTTCTCCTGGAATTCTCTTGGAATTTCAGGTTCACTTTAGTGCAGGGACCCTGAATTCTTAAGACTTCTAAGTTTCTGCCTTGTGTCTAATGATGCTGTAAAATATTTTAAGTTTTGTTTTTGTTTTTACCCACGAATCCTTTTTTAGAGCTATTTATGAATACCCGTGACTTAAGTATTCGAAGGTACTTTGTGTGCACTAAATAGTAAACAATTGTTCTAGTTAACCGCCATGTTGTTTACAGGTGATCATGGTAACAGGAGATCATCCAATCACTGCCCGAGCCATAGCTGTAGGTGTTGGTATCATCTCACCAGAGAGTAAAACAGTGGAGGATATTGCAGCAGAGAGGGGGATACCTGTGGAGGAGGTTGACCCCAGGTAAGGAGAGGATATCTTGTTATCTTGTGTATATGTTACGCAATATTGGCCAATGCGCGCATTGGCCGGCCAATACGTGCTTTATCCGACTTCGGGCTTTGACCGTAACATATATAACTTTACTGCTATTTAGTAAAGTAATGTTTTGGGGAAATGAAAACCTGTAGTCTAGAAGATAGGTAAATTAAAATGACGATAGTAGTCATAAACTATGGGATGGTTTTGGAAATTGGTAGTGTATACTTGTTAATCTAAAGATCTCAGAATTTGTTTTCTGAACTTGAAGACCTTAAGACATCGTTGTCATTGGCGCCTGAATATATTGCTGACTAGACATTCCTGGGGTCACAGAACCAAATGAAATATCCAATGATCTAGGCTAATACAAGTTGTAGTGTACTAATTTATGAATTTATGATAAATAACCAGTGCTTCTTCGAGAATTTTTTCTCCGGTGGGGGGGGGGGGCTCTTTGAAATTTTTGGTTGTCCGGACTTACGGGGGGGGGGGGGGGGGGGGCGGACACTGTTAAAAGTATATATTTTCTATATAAATTCCATTTTGTTTGGGGGGGGGGGTAGACTTTCAACGGGGGGCTCACTCCCCCCCCCCCCAAGAGATGCCTGGATGAAAATCTGTAAATAACTTGTGAAACAACATGTTTACTATTATTTTAAAATGAAATAGTTAAAATTCCCATCGGTTGGGTTATATACGTATGTTATATCATCAACAGAGAGGCCAAGGCCGCCGTCATACACGGTGGGGATCTGAGGGAAATGACCCCAGCCCAGATAGATGCCGTCCTGAGGAACCATACAGAGATTGTGTTTGCCCGAACCTCACCACAACAGAAACTTATCATCGTAGAGGGCTGCCAGAGACAGGGTCAAATTGTGGCTGTTACTGGTGATGGTGTCAATGACTCACCCGCTCTCAAACAGGCTGATATCGGTATGTAAATAATAACTTAATTTTTTTCATTGAAATGGCTAGAGATAATCACGTAAACCTGACTGGCCACTACATGGTGGATAGTCAAGGCGTTCCGTCTATTCCCTAAGTGCAAATCATGCATTTTATACACTGAATGTAGTTATGAACACATTTAGAAAGACATATAACGAAACCTAAAGTAAAGGTTTTGGGACATATTTGTATATAAATTGGTGTAAAGAATGTCAGCAAAAAAACTAACGATTTTGCCCTGTAGCCCAACCTTAAACTATATTAGCTAGGAAAAACTAACTTTACTTACAATTAAGCAGTGTTGAAAAGAAAGCAGTCTTAATACACTAATTAACTTGCAGTGTTATCAGGCCTTCCACAATACATACTAGATTCAGAAATGCGTAACATCTGCTGCTTAACTTATGATCATATTTAAAGTCTCGAATAAATTCTATCTAAACAATTGCAATTTTTTAATGATCAGGAATTGCGATGGGTATTGCTGGCAGTGATGTGAGCAAACAAGCAGCAGACATGATTTTACTTGACGACAACTTTGCTTCCATTGTGACTGGTGTTGAGGAGGGTAGACTGATCTTCGACAACTTGAAGAAAACCATCGCCTACTCCTTGACCACCAACATTCCAGAGCTTGTTCCGTTCGTCATCTTTCTGTTGGCGGATATTCCATTGGCGCTTGGAACCATTGCCATGTTGTTTATTAATTTGGGAACGGATATGGTGCCAGCTATCTCGTTAGCTTATGAAGAGGTGGAGCTGGACATTATGAAGCGGGCACCGAGAGACCCAGTCAAAGACAAACTGGTGAATGACAGGTAACGTACAAACATGATACTTTCATTTTATCTCTTCGTCGCACTAGTTGTTTTACGTTTAACCCTCGCCATTCCGGCTAGGCGTTGCTCTGGTTTTTCAGCGGTGTGTTTACACATTTGGTATCCGATTTAGTTCACTTATTGTAGAAAATGGTGGTCGAATGATAGAGCGCTTTACAGCTAGCCTGAATGTTTCAAGTTCAGATCTCGATCCGGACTTGGGACTAGATGGCGTCTCGGAGTCCACTCAGATCAGATGGGTACTTGACTCACGTTATGGAAAGATAATGCGGCTAGGCATAGTGCTGACCACACTTTCTCTACATATGCCGAGGTGAAGTAACATATGAACTCTACTTCATTTGCCAAATGGATGGTTGAGTCTGAAAAGGGAAGATTACTTAGTTAACTAGTTAACATTAAATATAACATTAACATTGAAGTATTTGGTACTGTCAAGAACAGTGTTATGGATGAATTATTTGATCTGTAAAATCATGTAAAGAAACTCCAGAAAGCGTTTTATCGAAGTGCTGACTCGGCATTAATTATATTAGTGTTCACCCGAATCAAATATTTATGAAAATAAAAATCTATCAGATCTGTTATTTTTTTTTACCTATATAACACAACCGAAGTTAAAATATAACAATACAACATTCATTTTTAGCTAACGTAACGTGATGTACGTTTTTCTGCTCCTGCTAGGTTGGTCTGTGCGTCCTATGCTCAAATCGGGTTAATGGAAGCAGCGGCCGGATTCTTCACATATTTTATCGTGATGGCCGAGCACGGTTTCTGGATGTGGACTCTGGTCGGCATCCGCGCCAGGTGGGATAGCCCAGGTGTCAACGACATCAAGGATTCATACGGACAAGAATGGGTACATACAATCTTCTTTTTACCCCATGTATTGCAAGCATTGTGAGCAATGTTTCCTCAAAGTGGGAAATCTAGTTTGCAACGTGTATTTTGTGTGCGAGGTGTTTTTATCCTGTACAAGGATATATTTATTTTACAAAATGACTGCGCGGCAGCTCAAAACTACTGCGCGGCCGCGCAACCGCGCAGCTTAGAGGGAACTGAATGTCAGTCATTAGTTACGGTCGCATTCACAGGAAAGACATAGTTTCTATGTCAATGCTGGTGAAAGAGTTTCGTTGGCATCACAATTCCATTCTCTGTGCTTTCTCTGGCATTAAATTGTCTCGAACAGAGTTTCTTCCAGGCATCTCTTCGGGGGGACTCCGCCACCCCGAAGGAAGTCTACCGCCCCGCCCCCCCCTAACGAAATGACGTTTATATAGAAAACATATACTTTTACCAGTGTCCGCCCCCCCCCCCCCCGAAAATATTGACCGCCCCCCCTCCCCGAGAATATCAAGTGCCGCCCCCCACCCCCCCCCCCCAGGAGAAAAAAGTCTGGAAGAAACACTGGTCTCGAATTTCTAAGAAATATTTACACCAGCTGGATCCCGAACTTTAGAATTTAGTATTTCATTTTTTTCAGTATTTTAAATTTACTTGTGAATTAATTACGATCTTAAATTTTCATCTCGTGTGTTTTAAGATGTATAAATGCATTGGTTAACTTCACTATACCTTCCGAGTACAGGCGTATTACCTTACTTATTGTTTGTTGAAACATGTTTTCGTTCCAGACTTACTACCAACGCAAGCAGCTGGAGTTTACTTGCTACTCCGCTTACTTCGTGACGTGCGTCATAGTCCAGTGGGCGGACCTTGTTATCAGGAAAACGAGGCGTCTTTCAATTTTCCAACATGGCATGAAGTAAGTCACTTCATTCCGTTTTTTTTTTTTTAAAACTTTTGACATTGGAGAGATACTTTTAAACGACTTTTATACTGTTTTGATACTTTCAAAAACTCTGGTAAAAGTGCCGCAACCATGTTTGTTGATAATGTTACATCATCAACTAACATTGTCACATTATCAACCGTAATCCTATCACAAGCCTTACACTGACCCCCACCTAAACCTAATTCCTGACCTGTCCCTGATATTATCCCTGACACTTACCAAATGCTGATCAGCTTAATCTCAATGTGGCCTGAGTATCTTTCAGGCATCCCCCCCCCCCTGAGAGCACGTCCATCGCCCCCCAAGAAATAGTTTATATATAATCTATATCCATTATCCACTACCAACCCCTTCCCACACAATAAATGAAACCATGAATATGGTACTATATTGTCCTAACTGCTTATTTATAATTTTGCAAGACTTGGTGCATTTGCATATCTTTTTACTATTAAACATAACGCTCTCAAAAATTTAAAACACAATTTTAATGTTCTAAAATGACCTATTTGGCTTGATGGAAACTGTACTCCATTGAACGGCAAGACGTCATTATAAAAAAAAAATGCTTTAAAGTGTCAAATAGCAGGCTCAAGTCTTCATTTACCTATAAGAGAAACAATACTACGGTTAAAAAAAATTAATAGCATCGTAAATAGTTTTCTAATAAAAAAACCAACTAAATATTATTTAAATTTCAGAAACCACTACTTGAATTTCGGTTTAGTTTTTGAAACTGCTTTGGCTGCTTTCTTATGCTATTGTCCTGGTTTGAACCAAGCCCTACGTTTTCAACCTTTGAGGTAGGAGAACTGTGGATTGTTTGTTACACAATTAACTATAGCTACTCGAGTGTTTGGGGTCGAATGGTAGAGCGTTGGACTGTTATATCTAATTCAGTGTGTGTGGCCGAGTCTGTTCGAGGCCGCTGAGTCCATCTGACTGATTTTTTATCAAAAGTAAAGGCGGAAGGACTTAGTGCGGACCACACTATCTCTTTATATGCCGAGGTCACTGAAACAGGTGGACTCTACGCCACCTACACCATGGACCGTCAGGATCGAAATGGTACTTTACTTCAGAGTGTGGGTGACATGCAATCTCCCTCTAGGGGGGGGGGGGGGGGGGGGCGGGAAGCTAGTGTGCAAAATGTATTTTCTGTGCGCGCTGTTTTAAAAGTCTTATACAAGGATATGCTTATTTTACAAAATCACTGCGCGGCAGCTCAAAACTACTGCGCGGCCGCGCAACCGCGCAGCTTAGAGGGAACATTGGTGACATGGGTGGAACCACCTGAGCACACCCTGCACAGGTGGGGTGGGCAAATAACTGAGTATTGTCTCTGCTAATGCCAAATTCATAAACGCGCATTATCCCCACTTCTTCTGTCACATCTCTGATCTGAAAGTGTACTAATTTAAAAAAAAAAAAAGGATGAAAAGCCAATGTTATTGTGACGTATGCATCTATTTTTAGATTCCCATGGTTGTGTGGTCACCTCTACTGTATGGCTATTTGTTTATGACGTATGCATCTATTTTTAGGTTCACATGGTGGTTGTATGGTGCCCCCTACTGTTTGGCTATATTTGTTTATGACGTATGCATCTATTTTTAGGTTCACCTGGTGGCTGTGTGGTATCCCTTACTGTCTCGCCATCTTTGTTTACGATGAGATGAGGCGCTTTTTCTTGAGGAGGACCCCTGGAGGCTTCGTGGAGAGGGAGCTGTACTTTTAGTGCAATATCAACAGTGATATCAACATGGCGGTATCAACACTTGTAATTTCAACACTTTTGATATCAACATATCGATATTCACATCAGTGATATCATATTTAGCAATGGCATCAATCATAAAACGAATTTTTAAAAATTGTTTACCTGCTGTGTTTTTGTCAGCTAGGATGGTAATAGGAAGTGGCTGATGTGATCATGTGATACACATGCTTTTTATTCTAGTATCATTGACCTTTTTATTTCGATATTAAATTTTTTTTTTTTTTGATTGAACGAGCTTTTTTTTTTATTTACGAGGAGTTTAAGGGGAGGTAAATGTATCATTTAAAGTGAGTTTTATCCCTTTGAAATTTTATGTGAATTGAATTTTAATCTAAATTTTATTTTAATTAGTGATTGTTGAGTTATTTTATGTAATGCATTTGTCAGTTTATGATAAAAAAACACAATAGAAAGTAGTTTTTTACTTTGCATTTAAATAAAATGTTTTAAAATATGTTTGTAAATAAAATTGAATAAAATAAAATAAATAAAAGACTTAGGCATTTTCATTTAAAGCTTGGTGTATTGATATTCCTTTTCATGGGCAGTTGAAGTACAGTTCATCTTTTTTTTTGAACTTGGTATTAAGTGATTAAGATTTCCCCGAGATTCATTAACCTTCCTAATTAAGTCGAAAACATAGTTAAGTCAGCTCTGTAATCTAGCGGCCTTCAGACGGTAAATATATTTCAATGTTTCGAGATTAGCGATGGGATGTGTACAGTTAGCGGTAATTGTACTGATCGAACCAAGCAGAATGGAAGGCTTGGTGGGACTTGCAGTTGTCGAAACACAATTTTATGTGAAGGGAAAAGGTCTTTAATAGAACGATGCTGCGGCTGTTGTGGTCGGCACCAGACATCCGGCAATTGTTTGGGTGAAGGGCATCTGGTCTTCAATGTCTTGTGGGGCTAACCGCTAGGTTAGGTTAGCATCCCTCTCCCCCCCCCCCACCCCCGGACCAAAATTTCCAGGCTTCACCATTCTAGACTATTCACAGACCGTATCAGAAATACCAGACTCCAAATAACAAAGCTACTAAACTTCTGCTTCGTTTTAATTTTAATACGATTTTCTCCAATAACTAAGTATTACTTGTCAGCATGTTTATGAGCCATATGACCCGTTGATTCCTTACTTCAGCCTGCTTTTCTTTTTTGGATTTGCTGCCATAGCTTTTGTCTACCCAAAAACAATCAGAACGTTAGTAGTTTATACTTAATTTTGAAGTTCTCTCCCCTAGATGAGTTGCTGTCCCTTGCGAAGGAGCTCATTTGTCCGGCAGTTAGCAATCACATGCTAACTCAAGACCACGCCATCACCTCGCTACAATTCGGACTACAACAACATCATCACATCACAAAACAACTCAACACTTGATAACTGGCTTGACATTTTTATTAGGGCTAAAATATCATAATTTGTAATACACTGTCCACTGGCCCCTACGCCAACCCCACCCCCAAAACCCCAATCCACACAAGCACTCAAAGATCCATTTATTTTGAAAACTTAACTAAATGCTTACCCTAGCTCAGATACGACCCAGCTCTGATCACACAAGTTGTCTCCCATGTTAGACAACTCACACAACGTAAACAACACAGTGAGTTATCCAGTACACAGGGACTACACATTCAAGGGAGATCACGAAGATAAATATAATACAAGGGACGTAACAATAACTACCAAGACATAACGTAACGTTGAAATATGTAATAACTGGAACAAAAAATGCGCACTTCCTGGTGCTAAGCACTTTTACGCACCATCGCACAGACATGTCAACAATCCCGCTAGCAACAACTCATTACAGAACCTTTTAAAACAAAATGAAATGTAAGGTATTTTAAACTGAAATATTTATTTTACATTAACTCGATAATTAATTAGGCTAAGGCTTAATCAGGTGTGGGCCGCAGGAGAATGTCCAGATGGGCCTCCAATACTGTAATTGGCCTAGATTCTATGTTAATTTCGCCTGCTTTGATTTTAAAAAAAATTAAAACAACACGTTTTTGTTTAATGGACACTACCGAGTCCACCCAACTCTGATAGGTACCTAACTCAAGATAGGGAAAGTAAAGTCGGCTGGGCATAGTGCTGACCACACTATCTCTTCACATGCCGAGGTCACAGAAACAAGTGAACTCTACTTCCCTTGCCCTATAGACCGTCAGGTTTGAAAGGGAACTTTACATTACTATATGGTAGCGGTTTATGATTCGAGTTGTAAATTTACCGAGTTGGCGAGAATCTTTCCATCATATTATTGACATGGATAAAATCCGTGCTTTTAAGATTTAGTAATCATAAGCCCTAAAAAAACAACAACAAACAACAAAAACTCCAGGCTGAAAATAATTAAGAAATTTCATATTTTTAGAATCAAATGTTATAAAAGCTGCTAATCAAGAGAACTAGAAAATAATTTCTTGAGTTTAAGACTACATTTCTATTTATTTTCATCAAGCCGAAGTTATAACCCGAAGTTTCACTTTCGTAAGACAAATCTGTGATCGATGCTTTCAAAAACACCACTTCATAAAATCTTATAGTAATTTGTACTCAATACTTTTCCGATACAATTTTAAAATAAAATTTATTTTTTCAAACCACATGACCTAGCTCAGCCATGTTTGTTGTCATCTCCAGTGATAAAATGTACACAAACAAATTATTTTTTTAAAAAATTGCCTGGTTACCGTAAATACTAAAAACACCAAATATATCCAAACTTTAGTAAAGTCTAACAAAAAATCAAATAGATTTTTATAACCGTATTTATTTTAATAACATCGTGTTTGAATTTTAAACTATTTAATGGGCATTTCAAATAATTTCAAGAATAATCTCGGTTGTGTCAATCCACCAATTCATTGAGATTTGTCATTTTGAAAGTGTTGTAAATGGCAATTTTTAAAGTGACCCATGATTTTAGAGGCTGGGATTTTAAACAAATACACAATGAAAACTTAAGCCAGGGGGGGGATTGCTTTTATTTATTATTTTATTTATTTAGCCTATTACCCGGGTAGCATGGAAACAGCCAGTCCACCCAGGGCTTTTGTCATGGTTTATTTTTTTTCCGAATTTAAAATAAATTCACTGATGTAAAGAAATGTTTATATATATAGGCGTATAATATATATATGTATATGTATATATATATATATATATATATATATATATATATATATATATATATATATATATATATATATATAGTCATATATATATATATATATATATATATATATATATATATATATATATATATATATATATATATATATATATATATATATATATATATATAGATATATATATATATATATATATATATATATATATATATATATATATATATATATATATACATCTATAAACTCAGAGGGTGTATCAAAGCATTGAGCTTTCCGCTGTATCCCAACACCTCCCCTCACACACCCGCATATTTCCTCATCTCCTACAGGAACATCACGCACTCCCCCTTTCTCTGAGCCAAGATGGCACCCAACTGTTTGCAAATATTCACCCTCATCCTGACCTGTCTCACCTTTATCCTGCTCACCACCGGGCTGTACTCGGCTATGTGGATTAAAAAATCTGTGGTAGGTCACCACTGTACCTATATGATCCTCTGCTCAACACTCGGCTATGTGGATTAAAAAAATGTGCCATATATATATATATATATATATATATATATATATATATATATATATATATATATATATATATATATATATATATATATATATATATATATATATATATATATATATATATATATATATATATATATATATATATATATATATATATATATATATATATATATATATATATATATATATATATATATATATATATATATATATATATATATATATATATATATATATGATCATCTGCTCACAACTGGCCATATGGATTTAAAAAAATAAGTGGTAAGTCAACACTGTGCTTATCCGATAAGGTGTCAACTGGTTATGCGCCATTGAGGCCCTTGACTCCGATTTCAGCCTGTTTTTCTCTTCGGATTTGTTTCCATAGCCTTAGGACAACCAAGAACAAACTACAAGGCATCAATTGTTTTGTTTGGAGTTGTCTCTCCTAAAAGAGTTGCTGTTCGAACTCGAGACTTTTCGGTTTAGCAGCCTTAATCTAATTCAAATTTTAGCTATTTATAAAATTAGTTAAAAAAACTTACGATGATCATTATTTGTGAATGAAATAATACTTACATTTTGATTTGTGTTTGTAATATTAATGTTGTAATATAACTGATTTTTAAAATGTTTTTTTAATGACGTAATATATATTTTTTTCGCACTATTTTCAGAACGGACAAACCATATCCAGGGAGGGATTGTACGAGACATGTGTCCTCGATGGGTGTTCGAAGATAGGTCCTCTCACAAGTCGGTACCGTTTTTACAAGCTTTTATTTAACGTTCTCCCTCTTTCTTTTGTCTGTCCTGCTAGCTTCGTCCGTCATGGATCGAAACTGCCGAGCGAAATTTCGACCACTTCTAAACGACCGATTCGTGTCAAACTTGGCATGTGTGTCAAGACCCGATGACAATGAAATCTGTTTCAAATTTTATCAGATCACATTATTTCTCAACTGCCCATATCACATTTTCTCTTCTCCAGGTGTCCACAGCGAAATTTCGACCACTTCTAAACGACCGATTCGTGGGTCGAAACCCGATGACAATGCAATCTGACATCAAATTTCATCATATCACATTATTACTCTTATCAGCTGTCCATATCACATTTTCTCTTGACCAGGTGTCCACAGAGTGTCACAGATTTTCGGGCACCTGATGATTGTCATCTATGTGATAAATCTGGCCGGTCAGTGCGCTGCTGTCTTCCTCAGTTATCTCCGCTTTACCCGAATATTTGCCCTCATTTACTTCTCCACTGGTGAGTAAACCTTCATCTCATGGTCGGTAGACTTCAATGCCCTCATCTCATGGTGGGTATTAAAACACTCAACGCCATAGATCACATTATTTAAATACCAACGCAAGTAAAATAATGCTATCTTGCAATCCATACTAGTGAATGAATAAGTGTTGTTGATTTAAGTGTAATTAAAAAAAATGAAACATGCATCGTTTTAAAAATGATTCATAAATTTAAAAAAAAAAAAACCTTCACTGCCAGGGTTATTACTTACACATATATTAGGGTATGGCTTATCAGTTAAGATGTACTAATATGATGTTGTTTAATTCAGCCATCATCGCCTTCTCCTTACTTGTCATCTACCCTACTAATATCCGGCCTATAGGGAAAGATGGTCAGCAAGAGTTATGGTAAGTGTTAGAGTTATGGTAAGTGTTAGAGTTATGGTAAGTGTTAGGGTTATGGTAAGTGTTAGGGTTATGGTAAGTGTTAGAGTTATGGTAAGTGTTAGAGTTATGGTAAGTGTTAGAGTTATGGTAAGTGTTAGAGTTATGGTAAGTGTTAGAGTTATGGTAAGTGTTAGGGTTATGGTAAGGAAAGACTGTTAGAATTATGGTAAGTGTTAGGGTTATGGTAAGGAAAGACTGTGTTAGAGTTATGGTAAGTGTTAGGGTTATGGTAAGTGTTAGGGTTATGGTAAGTGTTAGGGTTATGGTAAGTGTTAGGGTTATGGTAAGTGTTAGGGTTATGGTAAGGAAAGACTGTGTTAGAGTTATGGTAAGTGTTAGGGTTATGGTAAGTGTTAGGGTTATGGTAAGTGTTAGGGTTATGGTACGTGTTAGGGTTATGGTAAGTGTTAGGGTTATGGTAAGTGTTAGGGTTATGGTAAGTGTTAGGGTTATGGTAAGGAAAGACTGTTAGAGTTATGGTAAGTGTTAGGGTTATGGTAAGTGTTAGGGTTATGGTAAGTGTTAGGGTTATGGTAAGTGTTAGGGTTATGGTAAGTGTTAGGGTTATGGTAAGTGTTAGGGTTATGGTAAGTGTTAGGGTTATGGTAAGGAAAGACTGTTAGAGTTATGGTAAGTGTTAGGGTTATGGTAAGTGTTAGGGTTATGGTAAGTGTTAGGGTTATGGTAAGTGTTAGGGTTATGGTAAGTGTTAGGGTTATGGTAAGTGTTAGGGTTAGGGTTATGGTAAGTGTTAGGGTTATGGTAAGTGTTAGGGTTATGGTAAGTGTTAGGGTTATGGTAAGTGTTAGTGTTATGGTAAGGAAAGACTGTGTTAGAGTTATGGTAAGTAAAGACTGTTAGAGTTATGGTAAGTGTTAGAGTTATGGTAAGTGTTAGATTTATGGTAAGGAACGACTGTGTTAGAGTTATGGTAAGTAAAGACTGTGTTAGGGTTATGGTAAGTAAAGACTGTGTTAGGGTTATGGTAAGATAGGATTGTGTTAGGGTTATTATAGTAAGATAAGATTGTGTTAGGGTTATGTTAATATAATATTGTGTTAGAGTTATGGTAAGATAAGATTGTGTTAGAGTTATGGTAAGATAAGATTATGTTAGGGTTATGATAAAATACGTTTATTTTAGAGTTATGTTAACATAGAAAAATAATGTTGGACGTGTACAGCCTGTAATAATGTGTAAAGTTTAATCCGCAGGTTTGACTAGGTATTTTACGTGTCCTCAACCTACATTAAACCTCCTTAAATACTTAGTTTTACGCCTCCTAAACCTACACACCCCTAAACCTCCTTTAATCTACAGGTTTGACTGGGGATTTTACGTGTCCTAAACCTACAATAAACCCCCTTTAATCTACAGGTTTGACTGGGGATTTTACGTGTCCTAAACCTACAATAAACCTCCTTTAATCTACAGGTTTGACTGGGGATTTTACGTGTTCCTGTCGGCGACCCTACTCCTGGTAGGTTTGTCTGTGCAGTGTTATGAACTGGACGAGGATACGTTTCCTGGGATTGAGCTAAGGTAACTCATCAATTTGTATGGTTGAGCTTAAGTAACTCATCGTTTTGTTTGGTTGAGCTTAGGTAACTCATGGTTTTGTTTGGTGGAGCTTAGGTAACTCATCGTTTTGTCTGATCGAGCTTAAGTAACTCTTCGTTTTGTTTGGTTGAGCTTAGGTAACTCATCGTTTTGTTTGATTGAGCTTCGGTAACTCATCGTTTTGTTTGACTAAGCTTAGGTAACTCATCGTTTTGTTTGATTGAGCTTAAGTAACTCATCATTTTGTTTTATTGAGCTTAGGTATCTCATTGTTTTGACGATTGAGATTAGGTAATTCATCGTTTTGTCGGATTGAGTTTTGGTAAATCTTTTTTTTTTTGAGTCAGTAGGTAACTGATCTTCTTGTCTGATTTAGTCATGTATTTTGTTTTTTGTCGTGCCAAATAATTCTATCATTTGCTGGATCAAGCTTTTCCTCTTTTGCTTGTCTGCGTCAGAGATTATACCTTCCATTCATCTTCTAGGGTATTTCGTTAGATTTAAAAGGGTCGACGTGGTCCAGTCGGTAAAGCTCATGGTTGCTAAACCAAAAAGTCTCGAGTTCGAACCTTCGGGCAGATCAGGCTCGTTAGCTGGGGACAGCCACTCTTCTAGGAGAGAAAACTCTAAAATCAAACAACTGCTGCCTTGTAGTTTGTTCTTGGTTGGACAAAGGCTATGGAAGCAAATCCAAAACGAAAAGCAGGCTGAAATCGGAGTCAATGGCCTCAAAGGCGCATAACCAGTTTACACGTATACTTAATTATATTGGAGGAGATCCCTTCCAACACCAAAATTAAGAACGAAGAAGAAGAAAAATATTGCTTACATTGATTGTAAATTTCTCTTTCTTCATATAGCCATCATTTCTTGCTATCAAAAACACAACTATGTAGCTTGATAGTTTCATGCAACGGTATTTTTTTATTAGCAGGAGAGATTCATCATGATGTAGAGTACATCAAAACATCACGATGTTGGACACAAGTTAAATATGAATTCGCCATCACGAAATAGATAAAATAAAACCTAAAACATTATGAGTGTTGTGTTTGGTCAGACACCGTTTGTGATCCCATACCTTAAATCGATATTGTTAGCAAATATTATATATCTGGTAGGGGTTCATCCATAAATGACGTCACTCTTTTTTTGACGATTTTTACCTCCCCACCTCTCCCTCCCCTCCGTCTCACAACGTATTTTTATCAATTCCTTTTACAATTTATTAAAACCGTTTTCTAAAACGCGATTACAGCTAAAACTCGTTCTCTAACATTGTTTTTTTATAATGCAAAAAAGTGACGTCACATTATCTGACCCCCCCCCCCCTCCCCCTCATCACACACCGTCACAACATTACGGACCCCCCTCCCCCCTACGATTGTGACGTCATTTATGGACGACCCCTAGACAGATGGCTAAGTCTGACTAAAGACTTAAGGTTAAATTAGGTTAGTTAGCTGATTTTGATATCAAATGAATGGAGTTAAGGTATTGATTTGGTGTTTTGTTAGTTGGCTATATTCAAAGTCCAAAAACGTGATTGTCATTTCCGATTTTCGGAATTAAAAAAATAATAGCATTTTAGTAATCGATACCGTTTTAGGTATTGACTTCCGTCAGATAGTGAATCCCTTTATATATTGAATAAGGTAAAGTATCGAATCGATTACGTCACTCTACGATTACTTTCTCAGGAAAGAGCCCAAACGCCTAACCTGAATAATGACCGATACACATCATAGCACACCATGCACACATCTAAGACAGCGCGAAAGATACTGGGCTACAGCGCGGGAGATACTGGACTGATAGAAAATATTTGGTTGTTGACAATAATAAAACTAAAAATAAGATCAATGTTTATGAATCATAGTAAAAACACATTAGAAAGATCGGTGCAGTTTTGTTCGAGAGAACAGAAAAATAAATTGGTTTTGAGGCGTATGTTTAAAGTGTTGAAATGAAAACATATAGCCCAATCTGATAGACACTAACACTAGAAAGAATGGTCACCATTGGGGACAGTTGGAGAAACTTACACCAAAAAGATTGGTTACCACTGGGGACAGTTGGAGAAACTAGCACAAGAAAGGTGGGTTACCACTGGAGACAGTTGGAGAAATTAGCACAAGAAAGATGGGTTACCACTGGGGACAGTTGGAGAAACTAGCACAAGAAAGATGGGTTACCACTGGGGACAATTGGAGAAACTAGCACAAGAAAGATGGGTTACCACTGGGGACAATTGGAGTAACTAACACAAGAAAGATGGGTTACCACTGGGGACAGTTGGAGAAACTAGCACAAGAAAGATGGGTTACCACTGGGGACAGTTAGAGAAACTAGCACAAGAAAGATGGGTTACCACTGGGGACAGTTGGAGAAACTAGCACAAGAAAGATGGGTTACCACTGGGGACAGTTGGAGAAAGTGGCACAATAAAAATGTGCCGTGAAATGTATAATTAACGGTCATTGCCCAAGAGTGTCCTACTGGCTCAAAAGATGATCATCTAGTTACACAATGAAAACTTGCGCACCGTCTACCTGATAGAATTATTGCACCGAAGAGCACCATTTTGGTTATTTTCGTAACGAAGGATAGATCTGTTCCGTATTAAACATTTCCTGAAATTCAAATTTGAAACCTGTGCTATATATTTGAGTTTGAGGTTTTTCTGTTTCTTCAACTAGATCTAGATTTATACGTTTTATAAACGTTTGTAGGGTTGTGCATTTTTAGTTAATTTAAACATTTATTATAATATGAATTAGCGTTATATAGACGAATCAATATCCAGGCAAGTTGATTTGAAGTAGATCTAGAGTCTAGATCATCTAGATCTAGATCTAGATCTAGATCTAGTAGTGTTGTTATCATTTCTATTTTAATTTAGACTATTGTTATTTCTACTATTAGTCAGTCAAATACCTTACACATTTCCAAGACTCTAGAATATAGAGACTCAGGACTATATAATTTTAACCTATCTTACAGTATCGCATACATGAATAATGACCTGTCGGTGTCTATGTTACGGTTTGGGTAAATTAAGGTTAGAGTAAAGATACGATAGGCCTGGGATTAGGTTAATTGTTAGGGCTAGAATTAAAATAGCGATGCTTTTTTAAAAAAAAAAACAACAAAACAAAAAACTATTTCTAGATCTATATCATGAAGGTAATGTGTTAGAGAGTAAGGAGTCAGGGTTAGAAAGTAATAAATTAGCATTAGATAAAGAAGTTTGAGTTAGAGAGTAGCATGTTATGGTTAGATTAACCAATTAGGGTTTGAGAGTAAAGTATGGGCTTAGAGAGTAACATATTAAGGTTAGATTAAGAAGTTTGGGCTAGAGGTAAAGAGCTAGGCATATAGTTTAACAAGGCCGAATAACAGAGTAAAGAGTTAGGGTAAGAGCGTATCATATTAGGATTAGATTAAAGAGGTAGGGTTAGAGTAGAGAATAAAGCGGTAGGGTTACAGGGATAGGGTTAGAGATTAACGAAATGTGGTTTAGAGTTAAAGCCTGAATATTTTTGATTTCCCGATTTGATATTCAAACAAAATTCCAAATTTACATTTTCAAAAGTTATTCATAACCACGTTTTTTTCTTCTTTTTCATTCACATAAAAACATGTTAAATTGTTAAATTTTATATTTGACTTAAACACGTCTAAACTATTTAAAAAGGGTAATGGAAAATAAAAATTGTTCCTAAGTTTTTCAATAGGGCTGGTAAGTAGGTCACCAACCACTTATACGGCTCAATAACACCTGCATGAGCCATAGAACTGGTTGGTGACCTACTTACCAGCCCTATTGTGATAGACCGTTTACTTTTGTAATTCTACACAGCCCATGTGTTAAGACTTCCTGTGGAAGAAATCTTGTCAATGCTGTCCTACCTTAGAACAATCAGTGACGTCGAGCATGCATATAGGTAAGACTTGTGAAACCCATGACTTATACAATGGAATAATAATGCAGGTATAAAAACTTATACATCGAGTTATGCCATTGCATATACCTGCATGAATTATAACGTGAATGAGGGTAAATATTGTCAGGCAAATATTGGTAGGATAAATTAGGTATGCAATGTCAAATTGATACAGGTAAAATAATATATATATATATATATATATATATATATATATATATATATATATATATATATATATATACACTGGTTTTATTACATATGTTATATTTATACTTGTTTAAAAGCCATTCAAAAGTATGTATGACATACAAAAACATACATATATACATGTGTTACATCTTAGAAATTAAATTAGAACTGCAGTTATTTAAAGACCAAACACTCTATGGGGCAGATGAAGTAGTATTTCTTTCTTGACATCGGCATATAAAGGAGTGGTGTGGTCAGCACTATGCCCAGCCGCCTTTACATTCAATAACTTGAGTCAGATGCCCATTAGAGCTGGATGGACATATCGACGTCATTCAGTCACGAGTCCGGGACGAGATCCGAACTCGAGGGCTTTGTTTGAGCAGTTAATCGCCCTGCCATCCGACCACACGATCCCAAATGCAGTTATTGCTTTTATCTAAATGCAAGCAGCATAGCTTAAGAATTTGAGTCTAGAACGAGATCCGAACTCGAGACCTTCATGCTAGCATTTAATTGCCTAACCATCCAACCACATCTAAATGCAAGCAGCATAGCTTAAGAATTTAAGTCTAGAACGAGATCCGAACTCGAGACCTTCATGCTAGCAGTTAATCGCCCTACCATCCGACCACACCATCCCAACTGCATCTAAATCCAAGCAGCACAGCCCAAGAGTTGATAATGTTGCAGGCCCGAATAACGCAGTGACGACGACAAAGAAGAAGAAACACGCAAAGCTGTCGGCGTACATTACGGTATTTTTCTCGATCATCACCTTCTTGGCATACACTGTTGGCCTCTGCAGTGTTAACTGGAGCTTGAAAATTGTGGCAAGTCATCGATTTATGCGTAGCAACTCATCCTTGTATTTATAACAGAGGCGTCGCTAGATCTAGTGTCACCTGGTGCGGAACCTCATAGTGTCACCCCCCAAACCAAAAAAAATAATAAATTATAGGCTATATATATATATATATATATATATATATATATATATATATATAAAGTTACGTTTTCATATTAAATTATTATATATGGTGACCCCCCCAAACTAAAAAAATAATAAATTATAGGCTATATATATACATATATATATATATATATATATATATAAAGTAACGTTTTCATAGTAAATTATTATATATGGTGACCCCCCCCCCCCCAACCTAAAAAAATAATAAATTATAGGCTATATATATACATATATATATATATATATATATATATATATATATATATATATATATATATATATAAGTAACGTTTTCATAGTAAATTATTATATATGGTGACCCCCCCCCAAACTAAAAAAAAATAAAGTATAGGCTATATATATATATATATATATATATATATATATATATATATATATATATATATATATATATATATATATCAACGTTTTCTTAGTAAGTTATTAGATATGGTGATACCCCCACCCTGGTCGTTGATTGACTTTAATTACCAGTAAATGAAAATATTCAACTTAACATAATTTTCTTTGTACATTTTGCAGTTAGTGCCACCCTTGGGTGATAGCGTTATAGTGTGTACAGTTAACAGTAATGATGTTATTCTATAATAGGTTATTAATACAGTTGGAGGTAGCATTGTTTTATCTATAGTTAGCAAGATTAGGTCATGGTTTCACCTCCCTAACCTTGTCGGTATTTGTGAATTTGTATTTAAAAGACTTTTTCATTCTGATTAAGAATTAATTAACTGGCGAAAAATGATTCATCTATATATTTAGCAAATTGTTTTTGTCTTGGTGTCACCCCTTAAATGGCGTCACCCGGTGTGGTGCGCCCCCCTTCCCACGCCTCGCGACGCCTCTGATCTATGTGAAGTAAGTTATCCTTTCGAATTATGGGACAAATGAAGTAGAGTTCACAGTATTTTTTCTGCATGATCTCGGAGGGATGGATAGTGTGGTCAGAACTATGCCCAGCTGAATTTATTTCAATTAACTTCAGTCAGGTACTTATTAGAGCTGGGTGGACTCAGGGACATCCTACGGACTCGAACCCTGGATTTGAACTCGAGACTTCATCGGGTTAACTGTCGTGCGCTCTACAACCCGACCACGCCATTTTTAACTATAACTAATAATCGTATTTTTTAAATTTTTCTTTGCATATCATTACATTTTGTCTAGTAATTTGAAGTATTATACGATGTAAGGAGTCAGTTTATATGTAGCAGTCATAACGTTATTTATATTAAAAAAAAAACAAATTAGTAAGCAATTAATCATAAGTGTAACATTGTTCAGTTACAATTCTATTTGTATACATCAGAAAGGCAAGATAGTTGACAATGTTGGCAGTTTAAGTGTAACATTGTTCAGTTACAATTCTATTTGTATACATCAGAAAGGCAAGATAGTTGACTATGAAGGTCTGTTCTTGACGTGTACCGAGATAGAATGCAAGTTCCAGAACGAAGGAGGTGAGAGGTCATGTCCTTGTTGCAGAATTAATGGGGGGGGGGTGGCTAGGGTCAAGACACACAACCATAAAAAATACCGAACCCTACTGCTCCAATACCGAACCCTTCTCCTACAATGCCCAATACCGAACCCCACTCCTCCTATATCGAACCCTTCTCCAATACCGAACCCTTCTCCTACAATACCCAATACCGAACCCCATCTCCTCCAATACCAAACCCCAGCTCCTCCAATACCGAACCCCACTCCTCCAATACCGAACCCTACTCCGCCAATATCAAACCCATCTACTCCAATACCGAACCCATCTTCATCGGGACTGGTTTATTAAAGTACTTAGCCTATAATTGGGTACCTCCTGATAAAATAACCAATTGGCATATTATGCACCACTTAATTAACTGCTAGATTAATTAACTGTAACATTATTATCTAATTATATTAGTATATACGGGCAGGCGCACAGGCTGAAGACTCTAATATACTACAGACCAAGAAATAGACACAGATGTTTTAAATGATTGATATAACTCTCCTTAGATGTCAATAAAACTGCTCACAAATTATATACAATTCTCCCCAGCTGTCTACAATACTGCTAACATGTTTTGGTATAACTGTCCCAGCAAGACTTCTCACACGTTTTGATATTACTCCTTCAGCTATCAGCAAAATTGCTCAGATGTTTTGATATAACTCTCCCCGTAAGATTGCTCGTGTCTTGATATAATTTTCCCCAGCTATCCATAAAACTGCTCACAAGTTTTGATATAACTCTCCCCGTAAAACTGCTCACAAGTTTTGATATAACTATCCCAAGCTATCCATGAAACTGCTCACAAGTTTTGATATAACTTTCCCCAGCTATCCGTAAAACTACTCACAAGTTTTGATATAACTATCCCCAGCTATCCATAATACTGTGCACAAGTTTTGATATAACTCTCCCAAGCTATCCATGAAACTGCTCACAAGTTTTGATATAACTTTCCCCATAAAACTGCTCACAAGTTTTGATATAACTTTCCCCGTAAAACAGCTCACAAGTTTTGATATAACTTTCCCCGTAAGATCGCTCATGTTTTGATATAACTTCCCAGCTATCCGTAAAACTGCTCATGTTATGATATAACTCTCCCCAGCTATCCGTAAAACAGCACATTTTCTCGCCCTCGTCATGTCGCTTATCTACTACACCAATGTCGTCTTACAACTAATGGCTGTCTACAGCAAATGTTACTGTCCGACTGTCTATACATTGTTGTATTACACATCAGGTGAGTGATGTAATATATCAGGTAAGTGTTGTAATATATCAGGTAAGTGTGATATTATATCAAGTAAGTGTTGTATTATATCAAGTAAGTGATGTATTATATCAAGTAAGTGCTGTATTACACGTCAGGTAAGTGTTGTATTACACAGCAGGTAAGTGTTGTAATATATCAGGTAAGTGTTGTATTATATCAAGTAAGTGATGTATTATATCAAGTAAGTGTTGTATTACACAGCAGGTAAGTGTTGTAATATATCAGGTAAGTGTTGTATTATATCAAGTAAGTGATGTATTATATCAAGTAAGTGATGTATTATATCAAGTAAGTATTGTATTACACATCAGGTAAGTGTTGTATTACACAGCAGTTAAGTGTTGTAATATATCAAGTGTTGTATTACACATAAGGTAATTGTTGTAATATATCAAGTGTTGTATTACACATAAGGTAATTGTTGTAATATATCAAGTGTTGTATTACAGATAAGGTAATTGTTGCATATGTCAATTATAAGTTTTAGCAGGTAAATATTGCAGATGTCAAGTATAAGTTATATCAGGTGAATATTGCAAATATCAAGTATGAGTTTTAGCAGGTAAATATTACAGATGTCAAGTCTATTTTATAACAGGTAAATATTGCAAATGTCAAGTATAAGTTATAGCAGGTAAACATTGCAGATGTCAAGTATATTTTATAGCAGGTAAATATTGCAGATGCCAAGTCTGTATTCCGATCTTCTACTTACGCGTAGTCCACAGTTGATCTTCATCAACCATTTTATTATAAATTCTCCCCAACTGTAAAACAATAAGACGTTATGAATTTAGTTTTCATTACTCATTAAGTCTACTCTGGCTAAGTGCTCCTAATTATGAGCCCACCATTTAGATGTTTACCATTCCCGCTATATGTTTTAGAAGCTTAGAGTTATTTGTTTACACTAAAAAAAATTCTGATTTTTGCCTATCCTTTCCTGAATCATTTCAGCTGTCATTGCCTTCATGTTAGTTCTGGTCTACCCGACGTTTTTAAGATGGTCAGAGCCAGACAAAGAGATCAGGTTTGGTCAATAGCATTCAACATATATATATATATATATATATATGTATACATATATAGAGATATATAGATCGATAGATTCAGATATATGTATGTTTATATATAATATATATATATATATGCTTGTATGTGTGTGTATATTATGTTTGTGTAGTATATGTATATCAACATATTATATACACATATATATATATATATATATGTATATATTTATAAATATATATATATATATATACATACATATATATATATATATATATATATATATATATATATATATATATATATATATATATATATATATATATATATATATATATATATATATATATATACTTGTATGTGCGTTGGTACCTGTGTCTGTATGTGTGTTTGTATTTTCAGTAGATACAGATAATCTATCAATCTATATATCTCTATATATGTATACATATATATATATATATAAATATATATAAATATATATATATATATATATATATATATATATATGTATATATAGCTACATATATAAACAATAAACAGAGAGAGATTATATATATATATATACATATATATATATATATATATATATATATATATATATATATATATATATATATATATATATATATATATATATATATATATATATATATAAGCATGAAACATTGTTGGTCATAGGTTAGACTGGGGATACTTCACTTTCCTTTTCGCCCTTTTTATGATGATAACCATGGGGATGCGCTGTTGTAGATATTCTAAGGCCTACTGCTGCAGGTACGTGTGTTGATATGTCAGGTACTATGTTGGTCTATATGAGGTACTATGTTAGCCTTATCAGGTACTATGTTGGTCTATATCAGGTACTATGTTGGGCTGTATTAGGTACTATGTTGGCCTGTATCAAGTACTATGTTGGTCTATATCAGGTACTATGTTGGTCTATATCAGGTACTATGTTGGTCTATATCAGGTACTATGTTGGTCTGTATCAGGTACTATGTTGGCCTATATCAGGTACTATGTTGGTCTATATCAGGTACTATGTTGGCCTATATCAGGTACTATGTTGGCCTGTATCAGGTACTATGTTGGCCTGTATCAGGTACTATGTTGGCCTATGTCAAGTACTATGTAGGCCTATATCAAGTACTATGTTGGCCTATATCAAGTACTATGTTGGCCTATATCAAGTACTATGTTGGCCTATATCAGGTACTATGTTGGCCATTATCAGGTACTATGTTGGGCTGTATCAGGTACTATGTTGAGCATTATGATGTACTGTTGACCTTTATTGGGTAAGCAATATCAAAAGACACATTGTTAGATTTTTTTTCCTTAATGCTTTATAAATTGATAGAATTAAAGTCCTTTTTTAACATCTCGATTATTTTTATATTGTTTAGCATTTAGGAGCCAATCGCTTAAATTAAAATACTTTTTAAAAAATCGGAGCTTTTCAAGTAATTCAAAGAGACAAAATTCTTATTTATGATTTCAAAAATTTTACAAGAAATTGTTTTAAATATACATAAAAAACAAATAGTCAAGGACTAATTTTTTACGTCACAATGTTTCAACATTTACGTCACAATGTTTCAACATGGAATGATCAGCTGCTCTATAGAGTGACGTCAAAAGTTAGGTAACGACAGAGTTTCATGACATAAGGTTACCTCTGAACTTGGAATAATCAACTGTTCCATATAGTGACGTCATAAGTTAGGGTTCTTAGGGTTCTTGTCATGTTTACCACAGTGGAAGCTCCTGTTGTGTGTGCAAGACGGGATGAGGTGACCCAAGGAAGCGTTAATTGTGATGGTCTTCTGGAACTTTCCTGGGGGTAACTGACTGTCTTTGTGCTTTAACAGCAAACCTAGTTCATATATATATATATATATATATATATATATATATATATATATATATATATATATATATATATATATATATATATATATATCGTGTGAATGAAATACAGAAGTTTGACCATTTCCAAATTTAAATAAATCTAAATTGGTATGTAGAATGTTTAAAAAAATATTTATCAATAAAAAAAAAAGATCCCAGTAAAGAGAGTTTGCAGAAAGTAAAATAGCAGAATATTTAACAATGTTTGGATGACAGATACCATTTTTTAAAATGTAAATATGTGGATTTAAGTGGGGGGTGGGGATGGGAAGTAGTTAAAGTAACTGTTACATTTTCAGTTAGGGTTAAGTTAAGCCTTAAGGCACATTATTTTAAATTATGTTTTTATTACACGGTACAGGTAAACAGACAGGGCATGCGCATCCGATGACGTAGAAGTGACGTCATTTATTGGTCAAGCTAAACACGGTCATCCTCCGCCTGTAGTCCACAGTGATGTTCTTTATTCACTCATTAACTTTAATGATGCTGTTTTAATTAATTATCTAGGCAGTAAATGAACATGTATTGCTTGAAATAGTGTTATGGTTTGGTTTTTTCATAACCTGTTATTTTTGTGTGTCTAAAATTAGTGACTAGTTTTATGTGGGTGAGGATTTAAGAAGTCAGTCTTCGTTTTTGTGTCGGCTTCATTATTCATACATTAACTTAAATTATGCTGTTCTTAATTAATTATCTAGGCCGTAAATGAGCATGTATTGCTTGAAATAGTGTTATCGTTTGGTTTTTTCATAACCTGTTTTTTTTTGCGTCTAAAATTAGTGACTAATTTTATGTGGGTGAGGGATTAAGAAGTCAGAATTCATTTTCGTGTCGGCTTCATTATTCACACGCTAATGTTAATGATGCTGTTCTTAATTAATTATCTAGACAGTAAATGAAATGTGAAACAGTGTTATGGTTTCTTCTTCTTCTTCTTCTTCGTTCTTAATTTTTTGTATATGGTGGAGGATTAGACAACAAGTCCAACTTCGTGGACAAACCGGACTGTGGTTTCCAGTTTGTCAGGTGTCCCATATAATTTTTCCCTGAGTGGGGTGGGCTGGGGCCAGTGTCTGCCTCTTTCCTGGCTATACAGAGTGCATTCCTGGAGTACGTGCTCCGTGTTTTCCGGGGCCTTTCCACAAGGGCACATTTCGCTACACCCAACCTTCAGTTTTTTGTGCATGTGTTGATTTAGTCTGTTGTGGCCTGTTCTAAGTCGAAAGATTATGTATTGTTGTTTTCGTGTTAAATTGTAATAGCCGTCGTCTTTAATGTAGTGAGGGTGTGTGACAGACCACATTTGCGTTTGTTTGTTTTTACAAGCTTTTATTTAACTCACTTCCTCTGTCGTCAGTCGTCAGTCGTCAGTCTAGACGGAAACGCAGGAGTGAAAATTCGGACAGTTCTACTTGACCGACACGATTCACAGTTGGCACGTGGGTCAAGACATGAAGACAATGCAATCTGAAACTAAATTTGACTTAATTGGATGCTTAATTAATTTTTTATGAATTAATTAAAATTTGGACCGAATTAGTAGGCATGTCTAGCCAACCACACCACACGCGTCATCAATAGCTGCGCCATCACGACCACGTAATGGCTGCGTTCAAAAACCATTGCGCGCCTACTGAACGTGATATTCAGTAGGCGCGCAATGGTTTTTAGTCATGTAACTCTATTGTAGATAAAACATGTAAAGTACTGAAAAAAAAATTCATAAAAAACGTTTTAATAACAAGCTTTTATGTAATGATGCACTAAAAAGTAGAAAATAAATTATAGACTACTATTTAAATAACTATAAAGAAAAGCGTGGGTCACTTTAGTATCTATTGGATACCTTTACTAATGTTAAGGAAGACACCCACGCTTTTCTTTATAGTTATTTAAATAGTAGTCTATAATTTATTTTCTACTTTTTAGTGCATCATTACATAAAAGCTTGTTATTAAAACGTTTTTTATGAATTTTTTTTTTAATTATTCTTTTTATTTCTTTTGGGTGTAGCGAAATTTCCGGTTGTGGTTTCTTTCCCCCAATTTTTGCCAGCTGGTCTGCGATCTCGTGTTATGGTTTGGTTTTATTATAACCTTTTTTTTGTTTAAAATTTATGTGAGTGAGGGTTTAAGAAGTCCGAATTCATTTTCGTGTCGGCTTCATTATTCACACATTAACTTAAATGATGGTGTTCTTAATTAATTAACTACTAAATAAGCATGTATTGCTTGAAATTGTGTTATGGTTTGGTTTTTTCTTAACCTGTTATTTTTGTGTGTCTAAAATTAGTGACTAGTTTTATGTGGGTGAGGATTTAAGAAGTCAGTCTTCGTTTTTGTGTCGGCTTCATTATTCATACATTAACTTAAATTATGCTGTTCTTAATTAATTATCTAGGCCGTAAATGAGCATGTATGGCTTGAAATAGTGTTATCATTTGGTTTTATTATAATCTGTATTTTGTTTATAATTTATGTGAGTGAGAGTTTAAGAAGTCAGAATTCATTATCGTGTAGGCTTCCTTATTCACACGTTAACGTTAATGATGCTGTTCTTAATTAATTATCTAAGCAGTAAATGAACATGTATTGCTTGAAATAGTGTTATGGTTTGGTTTTTTTATAACCTGTTTTTTGTAAAATTATAGTTACTAGTTTTCTGTGGGTGAAGATTTAAGAGGTCAGAATTCATTTCGTGTCGGTTTCATTATTCACACATTAACTTTGATGCTGCTAATTTTAATTAATTATCTAGGCAGTAAATGAACATGTATTTCTTGAAATGTTGTTATTATTCTTGTTATGTGGTTTTTATAACCTGTTTTTTGTTTACAATTACAGTTACTAATTTTATGTGGGTAAGGGTTTACGCAGTCGGACTTCATTTTTGTGTCGACTTCATGGTAACTTCATTACTAGAGGGCATTACTTAAAGGGCTGTTGAAATGGAACAACTCGACCACAACGGTGTTTGAAACGTTGAGATAAAACTGACGATGATTAAGCGGGTCTTTGTTATGCTGTAACGTGCAGGGTACGAAGATTGTAGTCGCTGGTAGTTGATTACGATGCAGACACAAAATTCAGTCAGAATAAACATCAAATATAGCGTCATCAGAGTTTCTTTCAGGTATCTGTTTGGAAAATGGGGGGGGGGGGGGGGTGGCCACCCTACCCCCAGTAGCACATCCTCCGCTTCCCTCCCCCCATCTCGGACGAAATAGAAAAAAATACAATTCATATAGAGTATAGAGAATACATACTCTCGAGTGTCTGCCCCCATCCCCCACCCCCTCATATTAAAAAAAATTAAATGCGCCTCCCCCAAAGGCAACATGAGCTCACGAAGAAAAATATCTAAAAGAAACACGGATCATCATGAAAGAGTAACATTAAAGTCTGTACAGGTTCTTTGTTCTGTGTTGTGTTGACGAGTACAGTAGAGCCTGGTACGTCGGACTCCCAAGTCCCCTACATATTAGCGTGGGGGAGGAGAGGTGCAAGACTGCCGGGAACGGTTTGCTCTCGACCCTAACTAGATATCTTGACCTTAAGTTGCGGCCTTCACGTGGCTTCGGAAGAGTGCCACTAGTCGGACCAAGCGCATGACCCCCCCTAGTGAATGCGGAATGGCTAGTGGTAGCCAACAGCAACTAGAGGTTTTTGATCTGGCCGAGTAGAGCTGCTGTATGCGCTAGGCTCAAAGAAGACCGAATGCCCCCCTCGATCAAGCTGGGTACCAGGCGGTAGGACGACGTCCCGCGTCTGGTGGGTGGGGAAGGAAAGCCCGGTGAGAGCCGACGGAAGTAGCGACCGATGTGTGGGAAACTCTTATGGTCGGAGTTTGCTACACTGAGGCTTGCCTGGCTAATGGAAGTCAACCTTCTGAGCCGGTTTCCGTATAAGGAAGGTAGGAAGCACAGCAACAGAATGGGCCACCCGAACCTAAAGGTTTTTGTACCCACCTACCAAACAAGACACTTCTCACTAGCCACTGAGTGGTCGGCGTGGTCGAGTCAGTAAAGCTCATGGTTGCTAACCCACGGGCAGATGAGGCTCGTTAGCTGGGGACAGCCACTCTTCTAGGAGAGACAACTCCAAAATCAAAACAACTGCTGCCTTTTAGTTTGTTCTTGGTTGGACAAAGGCTATGGAAGCAAATCCATAAAGAAAAGCAGGCTGAAATCGGAGTCAATGGACTCAATGGCGCATAACCAGTTGACACGTAACGCTTAATTGTGTTGGAGTCGTGGTCGTGGCGGAAAAGCTCATGGTTGATAAATTCGAAAAAAAATCTCGAGTTCAAACCCTCTGGCAGATAAGGCTCGATCCCTCCCAACACAAAAAATTAAGAACGAAGAAGAAGAAGAAGTTTTTGTGGACATAAAAGAAACACTATGATGTTACATGTAAGCAAAAGGGACGATACTCTCAATTTACACAAAGGTTCAACACAACTATAATATATCTATCCGACACAACCATACAATAAAAAGTAAAGTTCCCCAACCAAACATCACGGTCTACGGGGCAGGTGAAGTAGAGTTCACCTTTTTCTGTGACCTCGGCATATTAAGGGATAGTGTGGTCAGCACTATGCCCAGCCGTCTCATGGACGGTCTACTGACCCAGATGCGGACTCAAGACTTTCGGTTAGCAGCATTGCTCTCTACCGCTAGGCCATTCCGTCCACTATATATTTCAGACGGGACCCTGCTGTATATTTCAGTCAGGGCCCCGGGTGTATATTTCAGTCAGGGCCCCGGTTATATATTTCAGTCAGGGCCCCGGTTATATATTTCAGTCATGGCCCCGAGTATATATTTCAGTCAGGGCCCCGGTTATATATTTCAGTCAGGGCCCCGGTTATATATTTCAGTCAGGGTCCCGAGTATATATTTCAGTCAGGGTCCCGAGTATATATTTCAGTCAGGGCCCCGGTTATATATTTCAGTCAGGTCCCCGGTTATATATTTCAGTCAGGGTCCCGAGTATATATTTCAGTCAGGGCCCCGGTTATATATTTCATTCAGGGCCCCGGTTATATATTTCAGTCATGGCCCCGAGTATATATTTCAGTCATGGCCCCGAGTATATATTTCAGTCAGGGCCCCGAGTATATATTTCATTCAGGGCCCCGGTTATATATTTCAGTCAGAGCCCCGAGTATATCGTTCAGTCAGGGCCCCGTGTATATATTTCAGTCAGGGTCCCGGTTATATATTTCAGTCAGGGCCCCGGTTATATATTACAGTCAGGGCCCCGGGTATATATTTCAGTCAGGGCACCGGTTATATATTTCAGTCAGGGCACCGGTTATATATTTCAGTCAGGGCCCCGGTAATATATTTCAGTCAGGGCATCGGTTATATATTTCAGTCAGGGTCCCGAGTATATATTTCAGTCAGGGCCTCGGTTATATATTTCAGTCAGGGCCCCTACTATATATTTCAGTCAGGGCCCGTGTATATATTTCAGTCAGGGCCCCGGTTATATATTTCAGTCAGGGCCCCTACTATATATTTCAGTCAGGGCCCGTGTATATATTTCAGTCAGGGCCCCGGTAATATATTTCAGTCAGGGCCCGGTTATATATTTCAGTCAGGGCCCCGGTTATATATTTCAGTCAGGGCCCCGGTTATATATTTCAGTCAGGGCCCCGGTTATATATTTCAGTCAGGGCCCCGGTTATATATTTCAGTCAGGGCCCCGGTTATATATTTCAGTCAGGGCCCCGGTTATATATTTCAGTCAGGGCCCCGAGTATATATTTCAGTCAGGGCCCCGGATAAAGAGAACCCCTTTGACAACACTATTAAAACTCTTCAAATGTTAAGAATAAAATTACCAGTTCGACATTTTGAAAATTGTTTCATTAAAATAGATGTGAACTGTTCTAGTTTTTAATATCAGCACTAGTGCATGCTGGGAGTGACGTCATGGCTACGCTTTGATCAAAATATTTCCTTAACTGCATAGCACATAGAGTTTAGATCTAGATCTAATCGAATTACTTTTAAACGTTCATTCAATACAGTACGTAAGTTATAATCATTGACGCTTAATTGTATCTACAGGTTACTGAATGTTTTCTTAGAATTAGGGTTATATTAAAGTTGGATTAAAATGTTAGTTGCAGATTAGTTCTAGACTAGGTCTAGCCTAGTCTATATAGATTCTAAAGCCTAAATGCTAATGCAGCTCAGCAAAGGATCTATGTCTAAATCTAAATTTCTATAAAATGGTCGAATGGTAAAGCGTTCGACTGCTAACCTGAAAGTCACAAGTTCGGTCCCATCTCTGCTAGAGTCAGAGCATGTCCTTGAGTCCACCCAGCTCTAATGGGTACCTGCTTTTCTTTGGGGAAAATAAATATGGCTGGACATAGTGCTGACCACACTATTATCCCTTCATCTGCCGAGGGTACAGAAACAGGTGTACTCTACTTCACCTGCCACCAAGTTCGAAAAGAGAACTTTACTTATACTTGTAAAAGCTAGTATAATAAATATCAGCACGCTTATGGTTTTCTACAGGGGATATCATTAGCTAGTATAGGTTAAGGTAAATCCAAGATTTAACCTAAGCCTAACCGCGATACAGGTCGAACACTTATCTACTTCGTTCGTACGTTTAAACATACCTGAAAGAAACTGACAGTATTACTACTATCTCCCGGACCACGTCTATCGACCCCCATCCAGAGGCGAAGCGACCCTTCCAGGCGCCCGGGGACAAACTTTTCGATTTGCACCCCCCTCAAGATTTTGATTTGCACCCCCCTCAAACTTTCGATTTGCAACCCCTCCCCCTCAGATTTCGATTTGCACCCACCCCCTCAAATTTTCGATTTGCGCCCCCCTCGACCTTTCAATTTATTTTTCCAACACATTTTGGCGCCCCATAAGGTCGGCGCCCGGGGACATATGTCCCCCCGCCCCCCTTGCTACGCTACTGCTCCCATCGGGAAAAAAATAGACAAAAAATTGTGCACCCGGAAGCTTTAAGTGCCCCCCCCCCCGCCATCGCAGAAAAGAAAATGCCTCAAAGATACCTTGCAATTAATAGCACTAAGTGCTGTTTTTTTTGTTAGAATCGCGACCATTACTTTTATGTCTGACTATATTCTTAACCACCTTTTCCACATCGTAATCCTAATCAACTCCCCACCTCGTACCCCTTACCCCGTCCCCGTCAAGTAACCTAACCGAACACATACCCTAACCACCTATCAGGCTTTAAAAAACCCATCTTTGAGACAGACGAGCAAAAGAAATGTGGATAAAAAAAATAAATCGCTACTTCTAACCAGTGGCGTAGCGAGGACGGGTGTTACCCGGTGCGGCACTTAATGGTGTCACCCCCCCCCCCCCACCAGAGGTGTAGCGACCTTTCCCGGGGACAAAATTTCAAATTTTCGATTTGCACCCCCCCCCCCCTCAAACTTTTGATTTGCACCCCCTCTCAAGTTTTTCTCTATATATTTTACTATTTTTTGCCTTGGTGTCACCCCCCTAAATGGTGTCACCCGGTGCGGTCCGCACCCCCGCACCCCCTCGCTACGCCTCTGCTTCTAACAATGATGTCAGGCAAAGGAGTCTAGGACATTACCTCCTCAAGTCAATTACCCCATGTACCCCCCCCCCCCCCTTATGTCAACCCCCGGAGTCATTTTTATCACCTGGGCATTCCCACCCACACGATACCAACCCTAGGAGTCATTACCGTCCTGGCAATTCCCCCTGGGCAACTACTCAATAACCCTAACCCTAAATCTAACACTAACAATAACACAAACCCTAACCCTAACTTCTACCTAACTGGACGGGGGGAGGGGGTAATTGCTCCTTATGTCTGCTGGAGGTAATTGACGGAAGGGTGGTAATGTCTTGCACCCCCAGGCCAAGATTGATTTCGCCGTCGTCTCTAACGCTGTTCCCCAACCTCAGTGGCGTAGGCAAGGGGGTTTTAGGGGGGGGGGGGGGTTATAACCCCTCCCATGGACCCCCACAACTACGTACAAATATAGCTTATGTATACTATATATACATATATATATATATATATATATATATATATATATATATATATATATATATATATATATATATATATATATATATACTTGTATACATATGGAAAACATTTTGAACCCCTCCCATGACCAATTTCTGGCTACGCCACTGCCCAACCTTAGCACTAACCCTAATTCTAGTCCTGACCATTCTTTCATCTATGTCTCTTGGTCTAACCCCAATATTTAAATAAGTAGCGATGAAATAAGACGCTTTCTATCCGACCTTTCAAATCTGTTCACTTGATATTATCCTCCCTAGTACAAGATGGTGGTTTTGTATTTCCAGAAGATGAGAACTCCACTAAACCCTAACCTTTGAACTTTACAGTGGGTATACATGAATGTTGTTGCGGGTAAAGGCGGTATGTTTTCCTTTGCTTACAGAGTTGACGGATGCTGGTGTTTGTGTCCAGCTGTGTGTGATTAGCTCCCTTTGTTCTATTTGGTGTGATCTCTCAAGATGGCCAACTACGTGAAGATCGACGCCAAGTTTTTTTTCCACGTCTTCCTCGGGTTCATGCTGACATCGGTCATGTTGACCTGTGTGCTCGTTTATCAGGTCATTAGAGGTTTGTGTAGGGCGTGGTTAGTATTGTATAGGGCGGGGTTAATGTTGAGTAGGGCGGGGTTAGTGTTGTCTAGGGCGGGGTTAGTGTTTAGTAAGGCGTGGTTAGTATTGTATAGGGCGGGGTCTGTGTTGAGTAGGACGGGGTCAGTGTTGAGTAGGGCGGGGTCAGTGTGGGGTAGGGCAGGGTTAGTGTTGTCTAGGGCGGGGTCAGTGTCGTCTAGGGCGGGGTCAGTGTTGTGTAGGGCGGGGTCGGTGTTGTGTAGGGCGGGAGTCAGTGTTGAGTAGGGCGGGGTTAGTGTTGTCTAGGGCGGGGTCAGAGTTGTGTAGGGCGGGGTCAGTGTTGTGTAGGGCGGGGTCAGTGTTGTGTAGGGCGGGGTTAGTATTGTATAGGGCGGGGTCAGTGTTGTGTAGGGCAGGGTCACTGCTGTGTAGGGCGGGGTCAGTGTGGTGTAGGGTGTGGTTAGTGTTGATTAGGGCGTTACCTCTAAATTATGTAGTATGTATTAATATGCCCTATACAATTTTATTAGCCACGTGTGAATTAAATGTGTCCTATATAGTGTTATATACCCTATATGACGCTATATACCTTATATGATGTTATATGCCCTATATGATGTTATGTGCCCTATATACAAGTCCTATATTATGTTATGTGACCTAAAATGTTATGTGCTCTATATGATGTTGTTTGTCCTGAATGATGTTATATACTCTATATGATGTTATGTGCCCTTTATGTGCTCTAAAACTTTATGTGCCTTAAAATGTTATGTGTTCTATGTGATGTTATACGCACTATATAATGTTATGTGCCTTAAAATGTGTTATGTGCCCTAAAATATTATGTGCCCTAAAATGTTATGTGCCCTCAAATGTTCTGTCTTACCCTCGATAGACTGACCGCCTAAGAGCTAAGATTAGCCCTATACAACTCTATTTCTTAGCCCTATATAAGATGTCTATTTCTTAGCCCTATATAACATGTCTATTTCTTAGCCCTATATAACATGTCTATTTCTTAACCCTATATAAGATGTCTATTTCTTAGCCCTATATAAGATGTCTATTTCTTAGCCCTATATAATATGTCTATTTCTTAGCCCTATATAACATGTCTATTTCTTAGCCCTATATAACATGTCTATTTCTTAGCCCTATATAAGATGTCTATTTCTTAGCCCTATATAACATGTCTATTTCTTAGCCCTATATAACATGTCTATTTCTTAGCCCTATATAACATGTCTATTTCTTAGCCCTATATAAGATGTCTATTTCTTAGCCCTATATAAGATGTCTATTTCTTAGCCCTATATAACACGTCTATATCTTAGCCCTATATAACGTGTCTATTTTTATCAACAGTACACGAAAATAACGAGGAACCGAAACAACTAGGGACGCTAGTTGGTCACGTGGGGTACCGATTCGAGGGGGAAATATTTGCTAGAATGTCGGCTAGGACCAAAGCAAGGGAATCAGCAGGTAAATGGGAGGGGTTTGTTTAGGGAGGGGAGGGGAGAGGAAGGATTGTGTATGAAAAGGTGGGGAGGGAGGGATTGTGTAGGGAGGGGTGGGGATGGGAGGGAGTCTGCTGGGAGGGTTGGGGACGGGAGGGAGTGTGCTGGGAGGGTTGGGGAAAGGAAGGATTGTGTATGAAAAAGTAGGGAGGGAGGGATTGTGTAGGGAGGGGTGGGGATGGGAGGGGTTATGGAGGAAGGGTGGGGATGGGAGGGGTTGTGTAGGGAGGGGTGGGGGTGGGAGGGGTTATGGAGGGAGAGGTGGGGATGGGAGGGGTTGTGTAGGGAGGGGTGGGGGTGGGAGGGAGTGTGCTGGGAGGGGTGGGGATGTAAGGGGTTATGGAGGGAGGGGTGGGGATGGGAGAGGTTGTGTAGGGAGGGTGTGGTAGTGTGATTTATTGTTTTGATTTATCGTGTATTTTGTGTTATGGTTGGAAAACAACGATATTTTTTTTTCATTTGTATTTTTCGTAACATTTCAGTTTTTGAATAAATATTAGTCTACACCAGGGGCTTACATTATCGTTAGCAACCCATAACATGCTGCGATATTTTTTTTGACAAGAATGCAACACGAAATGCATTTATATTTTTTTTTAAAACAATTTTTTTGTAGTTCTGAAATATGTTATAGCTTTTGAAAGTGGTTAAATTTGGGGGGGGGGGGCAATGTTTTATATTAGGAATCGTGAACTATGGTACTGTTATATAACCGCATTATTGGATAGGGTCGGACATGTCCAAAGTTTGTGTTTTAAGGAAGCACACCCCCCCCCCTCTCCCTTAAACGTATCAATTTCTTTTTAATATAAATACGGTAGTAATAGCTAACACTAGCGTTCTAACATTTAAAGATAGATTTTTAAAAATTTCGCTTACAGAGAGTTCATGTAGAGTGAGTCAGATTGTCTCCAATGAAACGTGTTTGGGTTTCGTTTGGACGTCGTTTTCTTCGCAGAACATCACCGGGTTCATTGTGAGTACAATTGCTATCTTGAAACGTAGTCGGTTGTCCTCAGCATTGGACGGTTGGTCTTTTATTTCATTTTACCTTAGTATGGTAAAATGTTATCTCGAATAGTATACATGCACATGTTTGATGATACATAATATTTGGTGATACATACACAAGTGGGGATACATGCACAAGTGGTGATACATACATAAGTCGTGATACATAAACAAGTGGTGATCAACACTCCCTCTAAGGGGAAAAGGCTTGTGTACAACTTGTATTTTGTGTGCGCGGTGTTCTAAAAGTCTTATACAAAGATATATGTATTTTACAAAAGGACTGTGAGGCAGGTTCAAAACTACTGCGCGGCCGCGCAACCGCACAGCTTAAAGAGAATACTGGTGGTGATACATGCACAAGTGGTGATACATACACATGTGGTTATACATGCACAAGTGGTGATACATACACGTGTGTTTATACATACACAAGTGGTGATACATACACATGTGGTTATACATACACAAGTGGTGATACATACACATGTGGTGATATATACACAAGTGGTGATACATACATAAGTGGTGATACATACTCATGTGGTGATACATACGCAAGTGGTGATACATACACGTGTGGTGATACATACACGTGTGGTGATGCATACACAAGTGGTGATACATACGTAAGTGGAGATATATACATAAGTGGTGATACATACACATGTGGTGATACATACACAAGTGGTGATACATAAACGTGTGGTGATACATACACAAGTGGTGATACATACATAAGTGGTGATACATACATAAGTGGTGATACATACACATGTGCTGATACATACACAAGTAGTGATTTATACACAAGTGGTGATACATGCACACAAGTAGTGATACAGAATATGTTGTGATACGTATAGGTGTGGTGATTTATACACATGCAATACATGCACGTGTGTTTATACATACATGTGTGGTGATACATGCATAAGTGGTGATACATGCATAAGTGGTGATACATGCATAAGTGGTGATACATACATAAGTGGTGATACATGCATAAGTGGTGATACATGCATAAGTGGTGATACATGCATAAGTGGTGATACATACACGTGTGGTGCGACATACAAATATATGGTGACACATACACGTGTGTTGATACATACATGTGTGGTGATACATCTTACAGGTGAATGTGAGGAAGTCAAAAGACTCACGTGACGCTGGGTTGACGCATGCGCTGTCGGCTGTCAGGTCAGAGTTCACCCAGTGCGATTTGTTGCCTTGCACGCCGTACCTTGTCACCTTGACCGGTGTGGGGACGAATCCCAACCAGACGGCGTCTGAGGTCATGTGGACAATGCATGCTGTGCCGCCAACACCTGAACTTCCTAGGTAAGATTGTGGTTATATTTTAGGCCGATGCTAGCCGGAATAAGATGCGCATGCGTAATGGAGAGAAACTACGACTTGCCATCGCGGCGATGTTTTCGATGGTGCTGCGCATGCGTGTATTTACAACCGCAGAACCCTAACACCAACCCTAATCTTATTCCTAAACCTAATCCTATCCCTAACCCTAATCTTATCCCTAACCCTAATCCTATCCCTAACCATAGGTCACTGCACATGCGCAGAGCTATCTTTTGCCGACTAAGTGGAGACGTTGGGGAGAAAAATCTTCTTCCGAGTAGTCACTTCGTATATTTTATTAACTAGTTAAATGGCCCGTTGAGAGAGAAATACAACGGGTGCTATGTTGATAGAGTTGTCTTATTCTCTAAACCGAAAATAAAAACTGAATCACTACATTAACTTCAAATTTAACCGAAAGGTTTCTTTGAAAACGGATTTTTATCCAGAATCGGCATTTTAACCTTGATCTACACGTAGTTACTGCACATTGATACCAAATAAAGTCGCACACAAGCTCAAACCTGACTAAAGTCGCATTGTGTTAATATTCTATTAATATTTAATCTGTAATTAATATTCTTTACCCTAACTTTTTCCCCTGTATCGATACAGTGACTCTAAACTTAGTTATGAAAACTAAACTAAAACACGAACTCGGTTTTTGATTGTGTTAATGTAATGGAATCCTTCATCTTAACAACGATTCCAGCGGAAGAAACCGCGATACGATACTGAACTTTCTAGACAGGAAACAGAGTAAATGGTTCTGCCGTATCTGTGACCTCGGCATATGAATTGTTAGCAGTGTTTCTTCCAGACTTTTTTCTCCGGGGGGGGGGGGGCACTTGAAATTTTCGGGGGGCGGTAAACTTTCTTCGGGGGGGGGGGCGGACACTGTTAAAAGTATATATTTTCTATATAAATTATATAAATTTCATTTCGTTCAAGGGGGGGGGGGGGGCGGTAAAAAAATTTTCGGGGGGGGGGGGGCTTTTTTTTTTTGCCCCCCCCCCCCCCCCCCCCCCCCCCCGAAGAGATGCCTGGAAGAAACTCTGATTGTTAGTAGGGTCAGTACTCCTTCACTTTCCCTTAATTGCTCGTCACGGGATCGGGAACTCAAGACAATCGGATTAGCAGTAGTCAGAGGCGTAGCGAGAGGGGGGGGGGGGGGTGCGGATCACACCGGGTGACACTATTTAGGGGGGGGGGGGGATGACACCAAGGCAAAAAAATAGCAAAATATATAGAGAAAAACTTGAGGGGGGGGGGTGGAAATCGAAAGTTTGAGGGTGGGGGTGCAAATCAAAAATTTGAAAGTTTGTCCCCGGGAAGGGTCGCTACGCCTCTGGGGGATGACACCATTAAGTGCCGCACCGGGTGACACCCGACCTCGCTACGCCACTGGTAGTAGTGCGTTTTACCGTTCGATCATGCATTCGCAGGGGTTCGTACCTCGAGATACGAGTGTAGTTAGTTCCGTAATGTTGCTCGTAGGTCGAATCGCTCGTATCTCAAAGACATTTTCTCTAATTAAATTAAATTAAATTCCATTAATCCTAATTTTAAAAAAAAAGACGTTTGAATAAAAAAAAATATATTTATAAATAACAAATGTATAAAAAACAATAAAGGAGAAAGTAAAGAAATACTTTCTATCAACGCATATGGCTAACTCGACTTGCGCTGTTTTTTTTTTTCCAGACTCCTGGATGTGACTGATTCAACCTTGACCCTTCTATTACCGGAAGTGACGCTGACCGGCGGGCCGCTGACGGCCGTGGAGGTCCGCCTTAACCCAAATGTCAAGCCCCCTCCGGCCGAAGACCTGTTGAAGGCCGCTGCCCGCAAGGCCTCGTCTCCTCGCTACAAAGTGAGACGGGTCAAGCGAAGTCGGGACCCGCTTGGGCGTGCCGTGGAGGTCCCATGGGACGTTCTCCGAGACATGGGCCGGCACTGGGAGGAGTCTCACACATCACCAAACACAAATCTCAAAGACTTCTTGCATCACAAGAAAATAAATTCCTCAATGATGGAGCTTTCAGGAAATACCAGCATCAATCAGCGTTGGTACGAGAAGCTCACTGGCGACGAACTGTTTGGAGATTATAGTTCACTCTACGATCAGCAAGTTGCAAAAATTCTGAGTCAGCTGTTTGTAGATGACAAGGGAGGTTACCTGTTTTCTAAGATTATACAGGGAGACAATTCTAAATTACTCGCGTCGATATTCGCCGATCTTGAAAAAGAAGAAGGAACGGAAACCGCGGGTAAAAGAAACGAAACAACAACAAAAGAAACAGTGGAGAATAGGGGTCAAAATACAAAAACAAGGCACAAAAGAAATGCGGTAAGTTAGGTTTATTCAGCTATCGGAACAAATATGGTGTCACAGAATTTCAATCACAAATAGGTGTTTAATTCAAGTAGAATTTTTCATACTGAAGTCAATCCAATGCCTCCAAATGGATCATAGTATGAAATACATCAAAATTTCATACATTTCCTAGTCATTCAATAGAATACCTAATAACATATACGCAAAGTTTAGAATAATAGCAAAATATCAAAGGTTAGTGTTAGCGTTAGGTTTTGGATCAGGTCTAGGGTTAGGAATAGATTACGATTAGGGTTAGTTTAGGGATCGGGTTATAGTTAGGGTTAGTATTACGACAAGCGTTAGGGTTAGGGTTAGAGATCAAATTTAGTGCAATTAAAAATGCCATTCTAGCCTTCCTAGCTGCAAGAAATATTGAGTGATAGCTTTTCTGATTATTTTGTTCTCTCGATAAAGATTTCCTGTTGTCCATTTTGTATTTTTTCTTTCTGTTTATTACCGTACAAAATAGTAGTGCATTTGCTAAGGGGAAATCACTCAAGTAATATTTCGTTTTGTGTCCTCTGCACTATGTTAGTAGTCTCCCATCTTACAGCACTTTCTTTGTTTCTTTTTTTTATCTGCTTTAATTGGCTGTCACCTCGGTCAAGTTTATATATATATATATATATATATATATATATATATATATATATATATATATATATATATATATATATAGATATAGATATAGATATAGATATAGATAGATATAGATAGATATATACATATATATATATATATATATATATATATATATATATATATATATATATATATATATATATATATATATGTATATATATATATATATATACCCAGATGAGTTTTAAATTAATGAAATTAGTAAGCGTGAGAGTTGCCAAAATAGTATTTAATACAGTAATTTAAGTTTTTATAACCTCATAAACTCAGCTGTTTGGCCATTTTTTTTTTTTTACAAAAGGCAAATTGACATCTAACACTAATCGTCCATTGATAAAACTAGATCGATCTCGTTGAATGAAACGCAAAAATAATGATTATAATGTATGTGTTGTTGAAATGACCGTGAAATATTTCTAAAAATTGGAAACTCAGTATCAGTGTTTTCGGCGGCCATCATTACCATGACGACGGTTAAAAAAAAATTAGGTCACGCACCAGATTACTTTATCTTAGTTCTCTCCCCTCCCAACTTACAGGTCAAGGACAACATCTACAGCCTTGAGATAAACAATGACCTTCAGATTGACCCTTATCAAACGGTTCACGTGATTCGACGTGACAACAAAACTGTTGTGATCAAGACCGGGTATGTTATACGTAGTTACATAATTATAGTGGAGGAAGGTGGGAGGTAGGACAACGATTTTACCCCTTAACAAAAAAAAATGTCTTTTCTGTGAGTCTAGAACGATCCCATACTTTCCCAATCACTCATGAGGACATACCCTAACAAAAGGACAGTAGGGATCAAAGATATGTTACCCTGTCCAAAGGATTGGGAAGATACCATATTATTTTTTGAGCACTTCTCTGTTCCTATAGCATCATATTTTATGCGGATACGTTGAAATGTTGGTCCAAAATCACGGAAATAATGAGTTGTCCTACTTCTCCCTCATCACACTTCTAATCACTCTATCCCATACATATTCATATATATATATATATATATATATATATATATATATATATATATATATATATATATATATATATATATATATATATATATATATATATATATATATATATGCAAATATACTTGAAATCGAGTTTGTTTACACATTTGCATATTTATGCTTATGTGTCTGTTCTGTTAGATGAGAGCATCTGCACTATGTATAGAACTGAATAATACGCATCTATGTAGAGAAAAATGTTCTATTTTCCCCAAATGTTGTACATAAATGTATTTCAAGACGACAATTAATTTGTTGATATATTCATTTGTAGAAATACCCCTTTAGTTATAAAAGTTCAGCTCAAATATATTAATTTTTCTAAAAAAATTTAAAATTAATCGGACTTATTGATGTCACTTTATTTAAGGCGAAACAAAAAATAATTTTCCAGAAAAATACAGGGACTTATAGTGACTTCACTTGAAATATACAGTAATTTATTCAAATAAAAGGCAACTTAAACCGAACAACACACTTTAAGGGCAAACCAAAAAATAATTAGTTAAAAAGAAAAATATACAACAATAAACAATACGCAATAAAAACACAGTAAATAATTGTCTCTTTATTAAATTATTTTAGTCCTTAAATATCTGGGCCGATAAAGAGTTTCTTTACTGAACAGATGTTAACTGGAGTGTAAGTGTTAAAATATCGATGATAATGTAGATGTCTTTTGTTGATGGTAATGTTAATGCTTGATTGTTAGTGGTACCGTTCATCTGTTGATGTAACACCGTTTATACTTTTACGTCATCTTTCTTACAAATTAGTTCGACTTGAAAATAAAAGAAAACCCAGGCCCTGCAACTTAAGTGATTCTTAATAAAAATGACATACACAGACAAAGGATTAACAGGGGGATATGTTTTTAAGAAAGAAAATATTGGAGAGTTGAAAAATATGTGGGGGTAGGCATTTACGAATGCTGAAAAGATGTGCTAAAATACTAAAAAATATCGATAAGAATCATATTCATATATATATATATTTTTGCTGTAATATACTAGTATCGAAATTGTTTTAAAGACACGACCAAAAGTGAACCAAATAAGCTTTTCCCTTTTGCCAACTACACTCTACAAGAGCAGGGGTTCATAACTTTTTTTTTTACATTAACGAGCACCAAGAGTTTCATATACACATTCACTGAACACTTCTCAATAGTTCCATTGTCCTCATTGACAAAATCCGATCGTGAATAATATGAGACGGGTGTGTGTTTAGACCTCCGTCGAAGCTCTGAGACTGACACTACGAGCCACAATAGGGCTAGTAAGTAGGTCGCTAACCAGTTCTATGGCTCATGCAGGTTTTATTGAGCCGTAGAACTGGTTGGTGATCTACGCACCAGCCCTATAGCTAACCTATTAAGAGACAATAGAACAAAACACTTTAATTTATCTGATCAGTTTTATTGATGTCTCAAGTCAAAAAATGGTTGTCCGATCAATGCCGACCTGGGCTTATAACCCCACACATGACCCCACACATGACCCCACACATGACCCCTGATATAACCCCACACATGACCCCACATATGACTACTGACATAACCCCACACATGACCCCACACATGACCCCACATATGACCCCACATGCTCTGAATGAAGATGTATAAAAAATCTAACGTAAACATATTTTCTGTTGTAAAACATTATATTGCCCAGTGTTGCAGCCTTTGACTTTTACTACTTTACATTAAGAAGTGTTCTATTGAAGTTGTTGTTGTTAACTTCCTGACTATAGTTTTCTTCTAGATAGAAATAAGAAAGTGTTAAGATATAGACAATTTAATTACTAAGATGTTCCCTCGTTAAAATTTAATTTGTCCTTAATTAAAACAGTATTTGGGGTTTCTTGTCCAGAGCGTTAGTAGCGAGTTTTAAAGTGCAGGTAGAAATTAGAAAATGTTAAGATATAGACAATAAAAGTTACTAAGATGTTCCCTCGATAAAATTTAATTTGTCCTTAATTAAAACAGTATTTGGGGTTTCTTGTCCAGAGGGTTAGTAGCGAGTGTTAAAGTGCAGGTAGAAATTAGAAAATGTTAAGATATAGACAATAAAAGTTACTAAGATGTTCCCTCGATAAAATCTAATTTGTCCTTAATTAAAACAGTATTTGGGGTTTCTTGTCCAGAGGGTTAGTAGCGAGTGTTAAAGTGCGGGTGATATATGACCAGGTGGTTAATTGACCTGGGAGCCATAATGATGACTAGGGATTTGGTTTTCGGAGTTTCATCTCAACAGAATCGAGGGAGTCATGGGCACGAGTGAACACGTACCAGTAGATACCCATAACGAAACCGTTACTTCCCCGGATTCCATTCAAGTTTGTAAATCCACAGCTGCCATCGGTGGGCCACCACCAACCTTTACTCGGCGTGGTCGAGTCGGTAAAGCTCATGGTTGCTAAACCGAAAAGTCTCGAGTTCGAACCCTCGGGCAGATGAGGCTCGTTAGCTGGGGACACTCTTCTAGGAGAGACAACTCCAAAGTTAACTGCTGCCTTGTAGATTGTTCTTGGTTGGACAAAGGCTATGGAAGCAAATCCAAAAAGAAAAGCAGTCTGAAATCGGAATCAATGGCCTCAATGGCGCATAACCAGTTGACACGTAACGCTTAATTGTGTTGGAGGCGTGGTCGAGTCGGCAAAAAGCTCATGGTTGATAATTCGAACAAAGTCTCGAGTTCAAACCCACTGGCAGATAAATCTCGATCCCCTTCAACACTAATAATTAAGAACGAAGAAGAAGAAGAAAGAAGACTACCAAAACTACCCTGACACATATTGACGGGTACACGGTCGAAAGTTGAGAACGGTTTTCCATTGTTGTAAGAAAAGTGATCATGAAACTGATGTCAGTAATCGTATCCCTATCCCAAACTCTAACCAAAGAAAAACATGAATTGTATTACTTATCCTAAAATGATACCGCATATCACAAATTAACTAATACACAATTTGGGAAGAGTCCATTGTCGAACATTAATTTTGATTGGACAAATCTTTTTAAGAAATGTGCTTGATTAGATTCAACTTTGGCCGATGGTAAAGATACTTTTAATTTTTTGACCAGTTTCTTGCCCAAGAATGTATATTATATTTTAACAGTAACTGACCCTGAATTTTAGAGTTGCTGCAGTAAGCAAGTTTTAATTTCTATGATGTGAGGTTCAAGGTTAGTGTAATTTTATAATGAGGGTTAGTTTAATGTTAGGGTTAAGGTTAGTGTAATGTGGGGGTGAAGGTTATTGTAATGTTAGGGTTAAGGTTAGTGTAATGTTAGGGTTAAGGTTAGTGTAATGTTAGGGTTAAGGTTAGTGTAATGTTAGGTTTAAGGTTAGTGTAATGTTAGGGTTAGTGTAATGTTAGGGTAAAGGTTAGTGTAATTTGGGGTCGAAGATTAGTGTAATGTGAGCTTGTTGGTTAGTATAATGCTAAGGTGTATTTTAATGATTACCAAAATATATATTTTAATCTTTCATCCCACTAATCCTACATTCAATTATCGACTGAACTGTGCAGACGTGGTGAGATCTCATTTTATTCTTTAAATTAATGTTGGTCAGGTCAATCTAACATCAGATCGTTTTTAACAGATATCGATTAGACAAAATATCGGTGAAACTAATTGAACATTTGAATGTTGTTGTGGGATAATATTTCTTTTAATATCTATCCCTGTAGAGCCAAACGTATCTCAAAGAAACACAACAGTTCCAACTATTTTATCTTTAGGAATCATACATTTATGACATCCCCAAGGAAGGGGAGTGTGATTGTCTGAAAAAAAATCTATTTTTGCGGACATGTGTGGAGTTATTGTGTGTGGGGGGGGGGGGGGGCTTTTTTGTTTTTACGTGGACGACAACATGCTGAATTTAACATTTAACATTTAATAATTGCTTATATATTTGTACATACGACTCGTATTCTGCATGTATAAAGTACAGTTAAGAGGACGGTGTTTATGTTTTTAAAAACAATACCATTGCATCGGGTTAATGAAGCACTGGGTATACACCTAAGAGAAGCATGAATTGAAAACATCGATTAATATATAAGCTATAAAGTAATATTGATTTTTTTTCATGTTGCTTCAAACCGTGAAACGTATTTGCTACCCCAACATTTAATTTGTTTGTGTGTAAAGCTGTAAAACAAAACCATGCTCTTTACACTCAAAATAATCAAATAAGCTGTAACAAACATTTAGAGATATTTTTAAAAAATATTAGGTCTATGTAAAACATAAAACTATATTAGTATCAAAGCAATACCGAAAAAATCAGTGAACGAAAAAAAAAAACTCACAGAAAAACCCCAAGAAAAAGTCAGGTTTCGCTAGGAAAAAAAGACACAGAAAAAAAGTCACAAAGGAAAAATAGTCACAACAATAAAGTCACAGAAAAAGTTTAAAAATATTTTAGAAATTTAATCAAGCAAATTTAATAAAAACATCTTAAAACTGAGATGTACCACTTTATGTAGATACAGCAATGTCCCTTTCAATTATAGGAAAAGAAATCATCAGCTCGCAAAAATGCATATTATCTGTATACACGAAGTTCTACAAATTTTACATTACATTAGTACAGTTTGCGTTATGGTTTTTAGTTAAGATAAATACTTGGTATAATTAAATGTACAACAGGGCCTAAATTAAAATGAAAAAAAAAAGATAATAGATATTCGTAATCGGTTTATCGATGTACCATAGTCGTAACTAAGCTATGGATGTATTTTTTCCGAACAAGCTGTCCGTTCTTGAAGACATAATGGCCTCGGAAATATATGTGCTGAACAAAATTTACCTTCTTAAAAGCATGGTTAAGGTGTTCTATATTTAATCTATCTAGAGTAGGGGTTCTCAACTCCTTGCCCGCGGGCGCCATGGCGCCCGCCGAACGATTCGTATGTGCCCGCCGCTCACTATTCGACAGAGACAGAATTTTTGTTCATAAACATTATTGAAATGTTGAAGGGGATGGCAATTGAAAGTTTGAGAGGGGGGGGGGGGTGGCAAATCGAAAGTTTGAGAGGGTGCAAATCGAAAGTTTGAGGGTGGGGGGGGGTGCAAATCGAAAGTTTGAGGGTGGGGGGGGGGTGCAAATCGAAAGTTTGAGGGTGGGGGGGGGGGGGGTTGCAAATCGAAAGTTTGAGGGTGGGGGGGGGTGCAAATCGAAAGTTTGAGGGTGGGGGGGGGGGGTGCAAATCGAAAGTTTGAGGGTGGGGGGGGGGTGCAAATCGAAAGTTTGAGGGTGGGGGGGGGGGGGTGCAAATCGAAAGTTTGAGGGTGGGGGGGGGTGCAAATCGAAAGTTTGAGGGTGGGGGGGGGGGTGCAAATCGAAAGTTTGAGGGTGGGGGGGGGGTGCAAATCGAAAGTTTTGTCCCCGGGCGTGAGGAGGATCGCTACGCCTCTGGAAGGAGTTTGTCGATTTAAAATAGGTGGTGCCCGCCACCCTACCGATATTTTAGAATGTGCTCTAGAGTAAAAAAAGGTTGGGAACCCCTGATCTAGAGCATCGACCTATTATGCACAACAACTAGAGATCGATATTAAATAAAAATTGTGGCAGGATCTGATTAGTTTGATCAAATTGGTTTTGGTCAGGTTTTGCCCAAGCTTAAATCCACCTTAACACCCACCTCCCCAAAGTTTTACGCGTTCATCCTCTTCTACCTTAAAGCATGCCATATTTCACATGCTTGTAATATAGATAACGTTTGCGAGGGATAGCAGTTCATGTGTCTATCTCGACTGCACAGTACCAATGAGGGACTGGGTGGATTGGGATAAAATAATGTGGCTTTACTAAATAAACTTGGTGGGTAACAACGGTTAAAAAACAAATAGATCGCAATAACGAAAAAAAAAGCAGAACTAAAAGAAGGTCGGAAACATGGCTGCTTAGTTTATTTTTTATTGCCTAACACCAAATGTATGGCGCTTAATATCAGGTTTTGGTTGATTATGAATAACAAATATTTAAAGCTACATGCAACACTAAAACTAATGCGGAGAACTCACGTTTGTGTGTGTCGGGCAGGGTGGGAAGTTTGGGTACGTGGCATGAGTTTACCACGACCCCACGGTATAACTGAATAACTGAAGTCAATCGAAGGCAGAAATTATTTAACTGGGTCATCACCTAAGATCGCGCGATCAGGAATTATGCAGTACAGTAGATTCGTAAATAAACACAGCAGTATTTTAAGTCTCGAAGCAGTCAACGCGTTTCATTTTAAATGTAAATTATTTGAATATAATATGGACAGGTTTATTTATTCTCATTGTCAATTAATAGACGAAAAGTAGTTATTGTCTATTATGTTTCAATTTCTTTATGCCGTGAAACCTAACTGAGTGTAGTACAAATCAGTTTTAAGATTTTTAAAAGAAACTATACATGGGTGACGAGGGAAGGGGGTGGGTTCTATTGTGGAAAAGTCAAACCGTGTTATATGATGGGACGACGGAGGGGAGTGGTATTTTTCAACGTTCAGCCTGAGTGTATTGATGTCTTCAAAATAAAAAAATCCCCGTTTCATCCCTATCCGCAACTCCTCCCTCATCCTATATACCAAAAAGAAGCCCCCGCCACCTTCTCCCCCCTTCACCATGCAGTCCACCACTTCGCTCACACTGCAGGAAAAAGAAGTCTAAAAAGCTTAATTCTTAACATACAGGAATATATCAAGGTGTTAAATAAGTCTGTACCATATATTTTACAAAGCTAAGGAAGTATAAGTGCTGATCAAAATTTACGTTCTTAAAAGCCTTGTAAAGGTGTTTTATATTAAATCTAAATAAAGCATCGACCTCTTATTTTGTATAAATCTTCACGTACTGAGTAAAGGGGGAAAGGAAGAAATAGCTATTAGGGATGATCAGGTATATTCAATTAAATAGGCTAACATCTCAAAAGGCGGATTGACTGTAATTACATTAGTGCTGTTTACGTTTTATTTGTTAGTTACCTAAATAAATCCTTAATCCTCATCACTCCCTGTGGAGTGTAGGGCAGCAACAAATCTCCGCTATTCCACTCTGTCTTGGGCGAGCCACTTCAATTCATGCCAAGTCTTGCCAGTAGCCTGCACTTCTTCTTCCATCTCTCTCCTCCATGTCCCCAGTGGTCTTTCGCTTTCCACTTCAGAGCCATGTTGGGGACTCTTCTTTTGCTCATGCGTAGGACATGACCCAGTCATCTCCATATCCTCATTCGAACGTTGTCGGGATCTTCTTTCAAAGCCTCCGAGTTGGCTCTCTCCTTTCTTGTTTAGTTTCCATGACTCTACAGCATAGAGGAGTACAGAACGTACATTAGATTTTTACAGTAGCCCTAGTCAGGTTAAAATATAACAGATTAACCTGGTTGCAAATTCCCCTTAGGAAATAGACATTAAGGATGAGGAGGTATATTCAATTAAATAGGCTATCACCTCAAAAGGCGGATTGACTGTAATTGTATAAGTGATATTTGCGTTGTATTTGTTAGTTATTAAATAAATTATTGGTTTAAATGTAGACAGAAAAACAAAACAGAAAATAGTGGTAAAATTGTTTTATGGATGTTCGAAGGTATGAGTTGAACTAATTTTACCCTGCTCGACTATAATATCCACAACAACTAGAGATCCATATTAAATTAAAATCGTGGCAAGGTCTGATTGGTTTGATTAAACTGGTAGTGGTCAGGTGAAGTGGAAGTGGGGATTAAATAATTGACGTTATTCATCAGGTCATATCTGTTTTGGTTTTGGTTGTAAAATTGAATATGTTGAAACAGCACTTTACCTTGTTATACGATTATATGTCTATCAACTCCTCCCAATCACCGTCTTTAATGTAATGGATGCTTCAATCCCACACTACAGGTACAACATTTGTAATGCAAACGGGAATTTTTTACACTACTATCTAAAACTACTTTATCTTATAAATATTTCAAAAACTAAAGGATGGAAACAACGGAGAAGATTTGCAACTTAATTGACTTTATATTACTGCCTTTTGCCCCTATTTCTTCTTAAATGTTGATGTTGTATTGAGGGACCTCTTAGCCATTAAATTATTTTCAATAACTTACTCTAAAATACTTGATGGGCTGCATAAATGAAGTATACTTGTTTAATATTGCGTGATTCTAATGCAGTAATAAATTATGTAAGCGACTTTATATCAATACCACCGAAGCTTAATTTGGCCAGAAAATTTTGTGTAAAGTTTGATGTCACTTTCATGATTAGGATTGAACGCTGTACTGTTTGTAAAAACAATATTAGTACAATTTGCATTTTGATTGGTCTATTTACATCTACTTCCACACACATCAACTCAGGTTTAATTTAAATCTTAAAATGTTAAAATTTTAAAGTACATTTCACACAACGACCAAAACAGCTAACTTATCACACAACGATAAAACATAACACTTTCATTTATCTGGTCAGCTTTATTGTATTGATGTCACAAAGGTGGCAAAAATCTCAAGTCAACAAAGTGGTTGTTCGATCAATGTCCACCTCGGCTTATAACCCCACACATTACCTCACACATTTCCCCACATGCTCTGAATGAATACATAAACAAAATCGAACGTATTCATATTTTCTTATGTTAAACAATATATTGCACATTGTTGCAGCCTTTGACTTTTACTGCTTTACATTAAGAAACGTTCTATTGAAGTTGTTGTGCTTTAGCTATGCTCACATCCTTTTTGTAGTTTTCTTCTAGATAGAAATTAGAAAGTGTTAAGATATAGACAAAAAAGTTACTAAGATGTTATTTTGTCCTTAGTATAAACAATATTTGGGTTTCTTGTCCAGAGGGTTAGTAGCGAGTGTTAAAGTGCGGGTGATATATGACCAGGTGGTTAATTGACCGGGAGCCATGATAATGACTAGGGATTTGGTTTTCGGAGTTTCATCTCAGCAGAATCGAGGGAGTCATTAGCACCAGTGTAATAGTACCAATAGATACCCAGAACAAAACCTTTACTTCCCCGCTTTCCGTTCAAGTTTGTAAATCCACAGTTAACTCCATTGTCAGTCCACCACCAACCGGTATAACCATAAGGTCTACAACCATAGCTGGGCCCATGATCGAAAGTTGTGAACTGTTCTCCATTGCTGGTTCTAAAGTGATCATCATCGGTAGAGCCTCGTATGCTGCCGGCAGTGTAGGACATTCGATAGAGATCTGCTTCGCCTTGCACCGTAAAGTTCTTGTATGTAAAGTATTTGTTTTGTCCCTTCCATTTCATGTCAATCCTCAAATCTGTATAACCCTGTTATATTATCATATAATTAAAACAACTGTTAACAAGTGATTAGTTAACTGCTGCACTCTCCCAAATCAAGAATTCAACTTCAATAGTTAGTTACTGCAAGTAACACAATGATATAAAATAGAAAATTATAAACTAGAAATTTCTTGCAAGCTTTCACACTTTATTTTCTCCGCCCTCACACACACACACACACACACACACGTTATCTGCCTCTGATACACACTCCTCTCACTCTAACCCACACACAAACCCATCTCTCTCTCACACACACACACTAATTTTCTCCTTCTCACACACTCTCCAATAACAAATTTATCAAAAAAAATTTTTAAATTATTTACCTCAGCTGTCAGTTTACTTATCATATCATTCCCAAGCCAAAAGTCACCATCAAGAGAACCGAACCCATCGCGAAATTCTTCCCAGGTTTTATTAAAGGTCACATCACCAATCATATTTCGCTGGAAATATATTTGACAACAACCAGATTATCTAACTTCTATTAATTTTTCGGCTAGATTTTTATTATTGTGTCAAAGGTTGAAATTAAACTTAGGCACATTTTTAGACTGGTGAAACTTGAAAGGTAAATTAAGAAAGGAACCTAGAGCCTCTTACAAACATTTAAAGAATAACTAGGCTGGATAATAATGCAACCAACTTTGTCAGTTTTACTATCACAAAGAACTCAGAATTTACCAATTGTTTTCAATTAAGTGTTTGAATAACTAACCTGGATAAGAATCCAACCACCTCCGTCAGATTTAGTGTCACAAAGAACAAGTCTACTATCCAGAGATTCAAACACTGCTCTGTCTTTCAAGCAGGCAATCATGGCGCGTTTTTCACATTTTGGCGTTTGCTTAATCGTGCAGTTCATAAATCATCAGACATATATATATATATATATATATATATATATATATATATATATATATATATATATATATATATATATATATATATATATGATATAGAACTTCAGTTCTGAGCTTTATCAATTAATGAAACTGATTTTGTTTAGTAATGAAAATGTCAATAATGCAATTGATAAAAAAAAACGACTGACTTGACCAAATGTTGATCTACATTTTTGAGGTCTGTTTTTGCAGCGACCTGTCCCAGCTTTCTTGGTGTATTTGTTCTCTTATCATACATTCAATATAGGTAAACACGAGGTTAGTGAACAAAAGAATAAACAATATAATTAGGTGGTCGAGAATGTAATGTGATATCTGTTTATGTTTTTATCTTATTTATAATGTGGAATTGTTTTAAGTTTCGATATGCTTTCAGCTAAATTTGCACGTAATTCGCATAAACATAAGCACATACAAATAAAGCCACACATAGAGCACAATCATACCCACCAACTGCTTGTATTAGCACATATAACTGTCCTAAGTAATACATTATTTTATCATTCACAATTTTAATTAATTGAAGATTTGCTTCGAATATACATTTTGAACATAAATACTATTATCTAAAACGTATATAACGAAGCATTACAACATTAACTTTTCTTTTTATAACAAATGTTGCACTTTTGTTAGTTTATGGACTTTCTACAGTGAAAAATAATTTATGCTGTAATTTGTAAAAAAAAATATACAAGATATTAAAATATAAAGTCTCACCCGATGTATCATCAGCGTATGAGCAGTTGAACAAAAATAAACAGACAGAAATAGTTAGCCACCATGTGAAGTAGTCCATTGTAGATGGATGTCAGATAGGCTGGGGTCTGGGCTGTAAAGAGAAGAACATTCTAGATGGTTTCTTCCCTTGAACAGCCAAACCAGTTGACTAGCATGAAGTTTTTTCATTAACTTATAGTATTAAGTAAGGCAACAGATGACAATCTGATTAAGTGTTCTTTTCTCGTACGTGTCATTTACATCCTGATTTAACGAGCCTTTAGCAAATTGAGGTCAGGAATTAGGTTGTTAGCACTATTTTTTTTCAAACTGATGTGAATAATTGTGTCTAAACTCTAACCAAAGAAAAACATGAAGTGTATTACTTATCCTAAAATGATACCGCATATCACAATTTAACTAATACACAATTTGTGAAGAGTCCATTGTCGAACATTAGTTTTGATTGGACAAATCTTTTTAAGAAATGTGCTTGATTAGATTCAACTTTGGCCGATGTTAAAGATACTTTAGGTTATTGTAATTTTAGGGTAAAGGTTAGTGTAATGTTAGGGTAAAGGTTAGTGTAATTTGGGGTCGAAGATTAGTGTTATGTGAGCTTGTTGGTTAGTATAGTGCGAAGGTGTATTTTAATGATTACCAAATCGTTTAAATTTTCATCCCACTAACCCTACACTCAATTATCGACTTAACAGTACAGTCGTGGTGAGATCTCATTGGTTTCTTTAAATTAATGTTTGTCAGGTTAATCTAACAGCAGATCGATTAGATAAAGTATCCGTGAAACTAATTTAACATTTGATTGTTGTTGTGGGATAATACTTCTTTTATATCTATCCCTGTACAGCCAAACGTATCTCAAAGAAACACAGCAATACCAACCATGTGGTATGTTGAGAAGGGGGGGGGGGAGGGAGGCAAACAGTGTTTCTTCCAGATTTTTGTCTCCGGGGTTGCACTTGTTATTTTCGGGGGGGGGGGGGGGGGGCGGACACTGTTAAAGGTATATATTTCTATATAAATTTTATTTCATTCGGGGGGGGGGGGGGCGGTAGACTTTCTACGGCATAGTCCCCCCCCCCCCGAAGAGATGCCTGGAAGAAACTCTGGAGTCAAAAAGCGTCGTTAGCATTCGATGCGTCAATTACCCAATTTCTTCCACCACTCCTCCCACTTTGATTGATGGGGTTTTCACAGAACTAAACAAAAAAATTAAAGAATATAATGCTTAACTTATTGAATAATATTAATGTGCCGAACTCAAAATTTTTATCATTTGTGAACCACAGACGTTAATTAGTTATGAAAATGTATTTCATAACCTCTATGAACAAACTTAACGTTCTTGAAGGAATGTTTACTAGCGAGGGGAGGGGGGGGGTTGATAGCAGCCAGGTTAATATGTTATATTTTAACCTTACCTAAATAATCTTGCCGAGCATCTTGACCGGCAACCACACCACCCCCCTTCCATCCTAGCTTTGCATGATAAAAGTAATACAGAGTCAAATAGTAATAGTTTTTAAAAAAAATCTATTTGTCCTAACCGTTCCTCCCCTACCACAACCTCGCAAAAATGCATACTATCTGTAAACACGAATTGGTCCAAATTTTTACATTACATTAGTGCATTTTGCGCTTTGTATTTTAAATAAGATAAATAGTCGGTATAATTTTATGCACTACAGAGGCCTACAGTAAAATAGATAAAAAAGATTATCGATATTCGTAATCGTTTTATCGACCTACCATAATCGTAACTAAACTATAGATATATTTTTTTCTAAACAAACTTTCCGCTCTTGAAGGGGAAACTGCGATGTACCACTTTATTTAGATACAGAATGTCCCTTTCGATTGTAGGAAAAGAGATTACCACCTCGCAAAAATGCATACTAGTTGTATACACGAAGTGGTCCAAATTTTACATTACATTAGTACAGTTTGCGTTATGTTTTTTAGTTAAGATAAATTTTTGGTATAACTATATATACAATACGGGCCTAAATTAAAAGAAAAAATAAATAAAATAGATATTCGTAATCGGTTTATCGATGTACCATAGTCGTAACTAAGTTATGGATGTATTTCTTCTGAACAAGCGGTCCGTTCGTGAAGACATGATGGCCTCGGAAATATATGTGCTAAACAAAATAAATTTACCTTCTTAGAGGCATGGTTAAGGTGTTCTATATTTAATCTATCTAGAGCATCGACCTATTATGCACAACAACTAGAGATCAATATTAAATATAAATTGTGGCAGGATCTGATTGGTTTGATCAAACTGGTTTTAGTCAGGTTTTGCCCAAGCTTAAATCCACCTTAACACCCTCCCTCCCCAAAGTGTTACGCGTTCATCCTCTTCTACCTTAAAGCGTGCCATATTTCACATGTCGGTAATATAGATACCGTTGGGGAGGTATAGTAGTTCATGTGTCTATCTCGACTGCACAGGACCAATGAGCGACTGGGGTGGATTGGGATAAAATAATGTGGGATTACTAAATAACCTTGGTGGGTAACAACGGTTAAAAAACAAATAGATCGCAATAACGGAAAAAGAAGCGCAGAACTAAAAGAAGGTCGGAAACATGGCTGCTTAGTTTATTTTTTATTGCCTAACACCAAATGTATGGCACTTAATATCAGGTTTTGGTTGATAAGGAATAACAAATATTTGAAGATACATGCAACACTACAACTAATGCGGAGAACTCACGTTTGTGTGTGTCGGGCAGGGTGGGAAGTTTGTTCACGTATCATGAGTTCGCCACGACCCCACGGTATAACTGAATAACTGAAGTCAATCGAAGGCAGAAATTATTTAACTGGGTCATCACCTAGCATCACGTGATCAGGAATTATGCAGTACAGTACATTCGTAAATAAACACAGTAATATTTTAAGTCACAAAGCAGTCGACTTATTTCCTTATGAATGTAAAAAATTATAATATAATATGGACAGGTTTATTTATTCTCATTGTCAATTAATAGTAGATCAAAAGTCTTTATAGGCTATAGTTTTTCAATGTCCTATAGCCGTGAAACATACTAAATGTGGTAGAACTCAATTTTTAAGATTTTTAAAAGAAACTAAACATGGGTGACGAGGGAAGGGGGTGGGTTCTATTGTGGAAAAGTCAAACCGTGTTATATGATGGGACGAGGGAGGGGAGTGGTATTTTTTAACGTTCAGCCTGAGTGTATTGATGTCTTCAAAATAAAAAAAATCCCCGTTTCATCCCTGTCCACATCTTTTCCCTCATCCTATATACCAAAAAGAAGCCCCCGACACCTTCTCTCCCCTTCACCATGCAGTCCACCACTCCGCTCACACTGCAGTAAAAAGAAGTCTAAAAAGCTTAATTCTTAACATACAGGAATATATCAAGGTGTTAAATAAGTCTGTACCATATATTTTACAAAGCTAAGGAAGTATATGTGCTGATCAAAATTTACGTTCTTAAAGGCCTTGTAAAGGTGTTCTATATTAAATCTAAATAAAGCATCGACCTCTTATTTTGTATAAATCTTCATGTACTGATTAAAGGAGGAGGGGAAGAAATAGCTATTAGGGATGATCAGGTATATTCAATTAAATAGGCTATCATCTCAAAAGGCGGATTGACTGTAATTACATTAGTGCTGTTTACGTTGTATTTGTTGGTTATTTAAATAAATCCTTAATCCTCATCACTCCCCGTGGAGTGTAGGGCAGCAACAAATCTCCGCCATTCCACCCTGTCCTGGGCGAGCCACTTTAATTCATGCCAGGTCTTGCCAGTAGCCTGCACTTCTTCTTCCATCTCTCTCCTTCATGTTCCCAGTGGTCTTCCTCTCTTTCGCTTTCCAGGCGGAGCCCACTTCAGAGCCATGTTGGGGAGTCTTCTTTTGCTCATGCGTAGGACATGACCCAGTCATCTCCATATCCTCATTCGAACTTCTAAAAAAATGTCGTTTAAACCTGTCCTTCGCCATATTTCCTTGTTCGGGACTTTCTCGTCCCACTTTATCTGAGGATACGTTGGAGGGATCTTCTTTCAAAGCCTCTAAGTCGGCTCTCTCCTTTCTTGTTTAGTTTCCATGACTCTACAGCATAGAGGAGTACAGAACGTACATTAGATTTTTACAGATTTTTACAGTAGCCCTAGTCAGGTTAAATTATAACAGATTAACCTAGTTGCAAATTTCCCCTGGGAAAGAAACATTAGGGATGAGAAGGTATATTCAATTAAGTAGGCTATCATCTCAAAAGGCGGAATAACTGTAATTATATAATTGCTGTTTGCGTTGTATTTGTTAGTTATTTAAATAAATTATTGGTTGAAATTTAGACAGAAAAACAAAACAGCAAAAAGTGGTAAAATTGTTTTATGGATGTTTGAAGGTATGAGTTGAACTAATTTTACCCTGCTCGACTATAACTTGCAAAACAACTAGAGATCCATTTTAAATTAAAATCGTGGCAGGATCTGACTCTGATTGGTTTGATTAAATTGGTTGTAGTCAGGTAAAGTGGAAGTGGGGATTAAATAATTGAAATTATTGATCATGTCATGTCTGTTTTGGTTTTGATTGTAAAATTAATATGTTGAAACAGCACTTTACCTTGTTATACGATTATATGTCTATCAACTCCTCCCAATCACCGTCTTTAATGTAATGGATGCTTCAATCCCACACTACAGGTACAACATTTGTAATGCAATCGGTAGATTTTTACACTACTATCTAAAACTACTTTATCTTATAAATATTTCAAAAACTAAAGGATGGAAACAACGGAGAGGTTCGAAACTTAATTGACTTTACATCAGTGCCTATTGCCCCTATTTTTTCTTAAATGTTGATATTGTATTGAGGGACCTCCAAGCCATTAAGTTATTTTCACAAACTTACTTTAAAATACTTAATGGGCTGCATGACTGAAATATACGTGTTTAACATTGCGTGATTCTAATGCAGTAATACATTATGTAAGCGACTTTATATCAATACCACCGAAGCTTAATTTGGCCAGAAAATTTTGTGTAAAGTTTGATGTCACTTTCATGATTAGGATTGAACGCTGTACTGTTTGTAAAAAAGATATTAGTACAATTTGCATTTTGATTGGTCTATTTACATCTACTTCCACACACATCAACTCAGGTTTAATTTAAATCTTAAAATGTTAAAAATTTAAAGTACATTTCACACAACGACCAAAACAGCTAACTTATCACACAACGATAAAACACAACACTTTCATTTATCTGATCAGCTTTATTGTATTTATGTCACAAAGGTGGCAAAAATCTCAAGTCAACAAAGTGGTTGTTCGATCAATGTCCACCTCGGCTTATAACCCCACACATTACCCCACATGCTCTTAATGAATACATAAACAAAATCAAACGTATTCATATTTTCTTATGTTAAACAATATATTGCATAGCGTTGTAGCCTTTGACTTTTACTGCTTTACATTAAGAAACGTTCTATTGAAGTGCTAAAGTGCTAAAGCTATGCTCACATCCTGGCTGTAGTTTTCTTCTAGGTAGAAATTAGAAAGTGTTAAGATATAGACCAAAAAGTTACTAAGATGTTATTTTGTCCTTTGTAAAAACAATATTTGGGTTTCTTGTCCAGAGGGTTAGTAGCGAGTGTTAAAGTGCGGGTGATATATGACCAGGTGGTTAATTGACCGGGAGCCACGATAATGACTAGGGATTTGGTTTTCGGAGTTTCATCTCAGCAGAATCGAGGGAGTCATTAGCACCAGTGTAATAGTACCAATAGATACCCAAACCGTAACCTCTATTTCCCCGCTCCCCGTTCAAGTTTGTAAAACCACAGGTACCATCGTTAGGCCACCACCAACCTTTATAACCAATAGGTATACAACCATAGCTGGGTCCTTTATCGATAGTTGTGAACGGGTTTCCATTGTTGGTTCTAAAGTGATCATCATCGGTAGAGCCTCGTATGCTGCCGGCGGTGTAGGACATTCGATAGAGATCTGCTTCACCTTGCACCGTAAAGTTCTTGTATGTAAAGTATTTGTTTTGTCCCTTCCATTTCATGTCAATCCTCAAATCTGTATAGCCCTGTTATATCATTATATAATTAAAGCAACTGTTATCAAGTGATTAGTTAACTGCTGCACTCTCCCAAATCAAGAATTCAACTTCAATAGTTAGTTACTGCAGGCAACACAATGATAAAAATACAAAATTATAAACTATAAATTTCTTGCAAGCTTTCCCACTTTTTCATTTTCTCTGCCCTCACACACACACGTTATCTGCCTCTGATACACACTCCTCTCACCCTAACCCACACACAAACCCATCTCTCTCTCTCACACACACACTTTATTTTCTCTGCCCTTATCTCTTCCTCAGACATACACCCCCCCACACACACACCTTATCTCCCTCTAATACACTCCTGTCACTCTAACTAACACACAAACCCATCTCTCTCTCTCTCACACACACACTAATTCTCTCTTTCTCACACTATCTCCAATAAAAATTCATAAAAAAAAATATTTACCTCAGCTGTCAGTTTACTTATCATATCATTCCCAAGCCAAAAGTCACCATCAAGAGAACCGAACCCATCGCGAAATTCTTCCCAGGTTTTATTAAAGGTCACATCACCAATCATATTTCGCTGGAAATATATTTGACAACAACCAGATTATCTAACTTCTATTAATTTCTCGGCTTGATTTTTATTATTGTGTCAAAGGTTGAAATTAAACTTAGGCACATTTTTAGACTGGTGAAACTTGAAAGGTAAATTAAGAAAGTAACCTAGAGCCTCTTACAAACATTTAAAGAATAACTAGGCTGGATAATAATGCAACCAACTTTGTCAGTTTTACTATCACAAAGAACTCTGAATTTACCAATTGTTTTCGATTAAGTGTTTGAATAACTAACCTGGATAAGAATCCAACCACCTCCGTCAGATTTAGTGTCACAAAGAACAAGTCTACTATCCAGAGATTCAAACACTGCTCTGTCTTTCAAGCAGGCAATCATGGCGCTTTTTTCACATTTTGGCGTTTGCTTAATCAAGCAGTTCATACATCATCAGACATATATATATATATATATATATATATATATATATATATATATATATATATATATATATATATATATATATATAAGATAGAACTGTAGTTCTGAGCGTTATCAATTCATGAAACTGATTTTTTTAAGTGAAGATATTTTCAATAATGTAAATGACTAAAAAAACGACTGACTTGACCAAATGTTGATCTACATTTTTGAGGTCTGTTTTTGCAGCGACCTGTCCCAGCTTTCTTGGTGTATTTGTTCTCTTATCATACATTCAATATAGGTTAACACGGGGTTAGTGAACAAAAGAATAAACAATACAATTAGGTGGTCGAGAATGTAATGAGATATCTGTTTATGTTTTTATCTTATTTATAATGTGTGATTGTTTTAAGTTTCGATATGCTTTCCGCTAAATATGCACGTAATTCGCATAAGCTTAATAAGCACATAAAATAAAGCCACACATATGAGCACAATCATACCCACAAACTGCATGTATTAGCACATATAACTGTCCTTAGTAATACATTATTTTATCATTCACAATTTTAATTAATTGAAGATTTGTTTCGGATATACATTTTTTAACATAAATACTATTATGTAATAGATCTAAAACGTATATAACGAAGCATTACAACAAGATATTAAAATATAAAGTCTCACCCGATGTATTATCAGCGTATG